CATACTAATACACACTAATAGGTTAATCTGCACTCGAGCAGAGCAGCTTCGGAAACTTCCACAGCTTTAAGCACTTGGTGCTGGGACCTCCCCTACACCTGGCTATATAACTCCGCTCACGGCACCTAGCCCTCAGTTCCAAAGAACTGACCGCTGCTGCCCAGGATGCCATAGCACACATGATGGACAGTGGGGAGGAGGGCGGGACGTGTGAATTCAGAGGACCACTCGAAGAACCAGATTTGCAGGTAAGAAACCTCTTTTCTCCTTCGTGAATACACACTAATGGGTGACTGGCAAGCTGACTAACCAGGAGGAGGGACGTCATAAAAGTGCAGAAGCCAGGACAGCTCGACCTACCACAGCCTGAGCCTTGGGCCAGACATCCAGGCGGTAGTGTGAAATGAAAGTAGACATAGTGGCACATATGGCAGTGTGGCAGACATCCGCAATGTCCACTCCATGGAGAAAGGCCATTGAGGATGCTACATCTCTAGTAGAGTGAGCTCTCAGCGATTTTGGAAGAGGAGTCTTTGCCAAGTTATAGGCAAGACGGATGGCCTGGACCATCCATCTAGAGATGGTCCGAGAGGAAGCTGGTGCTCCAAAGGAGGAGCCAGCAAAGGTGACAAGGAGACGCTGTGAGGCACAAAAAGTGGTCATGCGATGCACATCATACGACAGACCACGCTTCCCATCTAGAGCGTGCAGTGCTGTCTCACACAGAGAAGATGGAGTGGGATAGAAGACAGGAAGGACAGCTGGCTGGTTCAAATGGAAGGCAGAAAATACCTTAGGGAAGAAGGTAAGGTCTGGCCATAAGGTTACTTTGCAGAAAAGAGGATCTGCTCTTAGTGTAGCCAGTCCTCCAGCCCTGCAAGCTAAGGATATCGCCAGGAGAAAAGCAGTCTTGAGGGCTAGCAAGCAGAGTGATGCTGACACCAAGGGCTTAAAGGGAGGCCTCAAAAGCTGCTAAAGAAGTAATTGGAGAGACCACTGAGGTGTTAGTGTTCTATAGACAGGGCACATATTCTCCAGGCCTCGGAGAAATAGCTTGCAGGTAGAATGGACCAGTCCCAGGTGAAACAGGTGAAGGGGAAACTGAAGGAATGCATCCAGAGATATTGGCCTAGTAGGCAAATGTCGTCTTGATGCAAAGTGACAGAACGCCTACCCATTAAAGGAGTAGGTCAAGAAGGTAGAAGGTTTGCGAGCATGATTGAGCATGTATGTTACTGTCGGGGAAGACTCCAAGCTGACAGGTAGACGGACACAAGGCCTGGATGAAACATCTGACCCTTGTCCTGAGATAGTAGGTGAGGGACCAGCTGCAGCCTGATGTATTCTGCAGCTCATGGGAGCAGGATCGAGAACCATGGCTAGCGAGGCGACCAAGCATGACGTTTGCACACTCATGTTGGACTCGAACAACAGTTCTCTGAAGAAGGGGGAAAGGTGGAAACCTGTAAAGGAGGCCCCGTGACCAATTCATCAGGAAGCGCTCCCTGGGAGTTACAGCTGATGCTGGTTCAGGAGCAGCACATGGCACACATCTTGTTCGTCTGGGATGCGAAAACGTCTATTCTGGAGTCGGCGAAAGATGGCATTGTTGAGAGCCCGCTTGTGAGGACAGGACTGTAGTCGGCTGAAATGATCTACTACGGAATTGTTCCTGCCTGCGAAATGTACGGCCACTGGATAAATGTGGCAAGCATAACACCATTCCGAAAGGTCAATGGTGCGAAAGAGAAGGCGTAAGGAGTGAGTGCCGCCCTGCTTGTTTATATAATAAAGTGCAGTGGTATCGCCTGATGCGACCTGGACCACCCAACCCCAGAGTAGGGGCTCAGAGGCCCAAAAGGCCTTGGTGTTTGCCAGGAGCTCCAGCACAATGATATGAAGGTCGCCACCAGTGGCCAAGGGCAACGTAGTGGTGCAAACAAGCCAGACTGCCTGCCCGGAGGGCTGGCATCCACCACTGACTGAACCAACCGGGTCAAGAGACCAAAGGGTCTCCCTATGCATAGGGGGGGATCCCCACCAGTCCAGTTATGCAGCGAGTTCCAGAGTCACCTGGAGCAACGTGGATGGGTGGTCACAAGATATCTGAAAAGTGAGAGAAACCAGGCTTGAAGTGACCGCATCCTCAGTTGAGCATGCTGTCCCATGGCTGTGGTAGATGCCATCAGCCCCAGGGGTCAGTGGACCTGTAGGACAGGGAAGCAAGCCCCTGAAGAAAAAGACAGTGGGGTATATTGAATTCAATAGCATAGCCTGTAGCTACGATAAACAGTACCTAAATATTAACATGATGGAACACCAATCAGAAAGACGAGGGACCAGACTGGTCAACGACACAGAAGTTAGGTGCAGTAAAGAGACCGCTCGGTTTTGTGGTCCTGCCTGCAGATCTGCTGGTCAGGGCGCTGCCTGCCCACATGCCTACAGGTGGCGGCTGGTAACTTTGGGGTTGAGGCCTTTGACGTTCCCGGTATGCCCTAGGCTGGTAGGAGCATCACCAGGTACTTGCAGTTGTTACACCGCAAATGACCATGCCGCCCTTCGGGAGCTTGGGCAGGTTATCAAGAATAACATCAGTTTTCTGACTAAAAGCCGCACACCAACAAACCGCCCAGGCAGAAGAACTTGTTATTTAGAAGAAAGAACAAGGGAGGTCAAAGAAAGGAAATATAAGAAATAGAATTTGTTTTTACTTGCGAAGTTCCAAACAGAGTTGCTACTACAGCGGCGGTCCAAAAAAGAACTGAGGGCTAGGTGCCGGGGGCAGAGTTACAGTATATAGCTAGGTGTAGGGGAGGTCCTGGCACCAAGTGCTTAAAGCTGTGGAAGTTTCCGAAGATGCTCTGCTCGAGCGCAGATTAACCCATTAGTGTGTATTAATGTGTATTCACAGGGACCACGAAGGAGAACAGCTCCTCTCCTTTTTCTTGCTTGGCTTGCGAAATGCAAGGGCAACAGCAGCTGACAGGGCTTTCTATTACCCACCCACCTCCTGTGCTTCCACCCTGCCTTCTCCTCCTCCTCAGCTCACCAACAGGACACTGGAAAACATACACACATACACAGTTGGTTGTGAGGAGGAAGAGAAGCAAATTCCAGGCAGCTTAGACTGAATTGCAGGATGGCTCCTTTCCTGGGCTTTAGTTGACACCTTGCGTGCATGTGCTGGCAAAACACCAAGCAGCACCCCAGCCATTCTAATCAAGCTGGCAGCAAGTGAGAGGGCAAGCCAGCCAGAGTTTTGACCACTTTGCTGTGCTGGTACTAAAAAGAGTAGTCTCCAGGCAACAGCGGTCTGGAAAATACATATGCAGCTACCTGAATGTAAGCCACAAAAGTGGAAGTAACTGGATGTCACTGCCATCACTATAACCATAGTTATCCCAACCTTCAAATCCCTTTTCATCAGCAGGTATCAAGAGCCTGGCATTCCCCAGGGTCCTCTCACCCACTGCCTGCACTTATAAGAAATGACAGGAAAAGCCAAATGGGCATTCTTTACACAATTTGTCCAACCTAGCTTGCCTTTCCTCCCTCCAATCTCTAAAAGCCTGGAAGAATTGTGATGAATTATAGATCAGAGGCATTACAACCTGCTTTATGTCAGTTCTCTCAGGCAACCATGCAAAATCCTGCTGGTTCTTCCTTTTTATTCCCCCTGTCCTTCCCCATAAGTCTCTGCCCTATAGATACAAGTATCAGGGGAGGAAATTAAATTACCTTTCTGTCATACCAATTTGTACAGCAGTAGCCAATCGATCTGTATCTTTAGTGCCAACTGGGTAAAACTTAAAAATTATACTCTCAATTTGTGATGTTCAGGCTTTTAAGTGGTGCAAGCCATAGACTACATATGACATTCATGCTGAAATAGATTTACTGGTTGTGGACTCACAAGAAGCTGTGATCTCCTGCATACCTCAGAAAATATATACTCAAGAGAATTAGGAGCCTTCGTATGTTATTTTTTTTTTAAAAAAAGACTTGTCCTTACCTACTGCCTGATAGATAATGGCTAGCTCCATCAGCAGCAACTGCAAAACTGCCTAGAGAATGGAGAAGTTTTGCCTAATTGTCCTTCATGTTTCTAGAATGGAACATATACACACTGACAAATTATTCATTTTAACCCCGCCACCTTACAAATCTAAATCATTAGGAAGACATATATTTTTGCCTTCATTCCCCGCCCCACGCCACCCCGTTTCTCACAGAGAAACGTCATTATAGTGGTTTCATGCCAGGCCCATTAACAGCCCAAATATTGAAATACTAAACTAAAACATGTCATTTTGAATAATAATATATAGAAAAGAAACACACATGTATTAATATCTTGGTTTTCAAAATGGGGCTGCACGGGTGGAATTCCTGGTCTCTGAGTGTGCCAGATAGTTCAAGAAAACAATCCAAGTCACCCCCCACCCCCCCGATGATTGGATGGGTCATACAAAATGCCTAACTGACTTATTCTTTTCTCAATCCAACGAAGCTGGAACAAGGAATTGACTAAATTAGGAAATAAAACCTGAAACAAAGCCTGTTTCTCCGGAAGTTACAGAATGACGGCGTTACCCTTCTATAGATATTTAGTAAGGATATGACCAGGGAAAGCAGCAGACAAATGAGCTGGGAGATGTACCTGGTATCAATCTTGCATTCGCAACAGAGGCTGACCTGTATGTTAGGACTATGGAGATTATCAATGAGACATCTGAGTGCTGTCTGCACAAATGATCAGTTGAGACTCTTCTGAAAATTAAGAGTGATCTTCAAGATAGTCCGAGCAGGATCATTTTGTGAAAAAAATTATATAAGGAGTCTTAGCCCAAATAAGGCATTTACGTATCAAATGTGTCTTTTTAAGCTGCATGCTAAGATTGTACAAGTTCTCTTTTGTCTTCTGTTTCTAAAAGAGAACAAACAACTTTATTGCTGTTCCATCAATTCATAAGGGAATACACCCATATGGAAAGACCTGATCTTTCTCAAATTATTTTATTATAAACAGTTTTTTTATACTGATAAACAAATACTCAGTTGTATCTCTAAGTCAATCTCAGATGAAGAAAAGAAAATACCCTCAGGACCCCAAAGAATTCTTCAAAGAAGACTTAAATGAACACGGATGTTTGCGTTACAGGTTGAACATTTCTCACCCTGATACCAAAAGTCTATGACAGTGAACAGCCTTGATCCAAGTTTGTGTTAGCCGATGAAATAAGAACTCAGATTTATCCTTCACTTCAAGAGCTGTTTCTTCTTGGTTGCCACAGGACTAGGAAAAGGAGGGGAGAACCACATCACATTATAACCAGGACCCTTGTCCTTCAGAGCTACTGAGCAGTTGCTCAGTGAACACTCCAATCTCACAATGGTCTGTTCAAGATGAGCCACTATTTAGTTGGAACCACATCAGAGTAATCCTTCAGTACCCCAGCCAAATGGTCATTGTGGGTCTTGAACCTCCGTTTCTTCTGAGAAGCAGGCTTCTTTCTCCTCTGAATAGGAGCCTGAAAAGAGAAATATGGGGCATTCATGTTTAGGGTATTTAAAAATAAAGCTGTTGAGAACAAGCTGGATCAGGCCAAAGGCCCATGTAGACCAGCATCCTGTCTCACCAGCACAGGCAAGGCGTAAGAGCAAGAGCTACCTCTCAAGAGGAGTTGGCAGCCCATACAAAGGTCTCTGTCTGTCTAGGGGGGAGCACAGTACACAGGGGTGAAACAGAGATGCTGCTTACTTTGGAGTTCTCCAGGTCCAAGGCCACAAGCACTAGCACCACCACCAGGAGGGAGGAAGACATCTGTACTTACATTTGAAAACCACTCAAAAGAGACAGAGGAACTGGTCCATTAAAAAAATCAAATAGCTGTTGGTATCTACCTGGCATCCCAAAGCCTCCCAGCTCCAAGACAAACAGGGACAGGGGCCAGTAGAAGGCAAAGAACAACGGCCTCATTTGTGATTTGCAACTCTAATACAGAGAACCACCCTGTATCATTTTAACCCTGACACTTTTCCTGAAGTGTTTCAATCAACATATGCCTCCATTTAATATGAATTCCATTAATTCTGTCCATACTCAATTTCACGTAATTGACTCTTCAACACTAAATAGAATACATCAAGCAAAGCCAGCAAAGCATTTGTGGAAATCTGTAATGTTCTTACTATTTTCTTGGGGCCTGCATCCTGCATTGAAGAAATACCCTGACGTTTCAGATACTCTTCTATTTTTTCTTCATCCATGGAGTCCACAGGAACACTCCTCCAAAGTTTTTGAAATTCTAAAATGCCAAAAAGTGGCACTAATTAGATATGGCAATAGATATATTCATGAACAAGAAACTATCTTTATCAGTTACAGTTATGCTGCAATTGGAAGAAACATTGACACAGTCTTAAAGCAGTGTCAAAACCTAATGAATTAACCTAATGAATTCAGATTCTGCTGTAGTAGCCATTTTCCTCTTGTGGAGAAGACAGAGGAAATGGGCAGGCAGGAATAAACTCAATAACAGCTGAAAGAGATTATGGATTCAGCAGTCTCCTCCCATTAGGGTCCACACAGGAAGTCTATCAAAAAGGCCACCAGGCCCATAATCCATTGTAGCTCCCATGGAGCTTCTCCCTGCCCACCCCTTTCCTCTGTTTTTTCCAAAGGATGAAAATGACTGTCAGAATCTGAATTCTTTAAGTTAAGAACTTGAAAACACCTGTCACAACCTTTTTTCTTGACTAAAGCCCCCAGAAATCTGGCTAGGGGAATTTTTGCAGATTTTGGTGGTCTGCAGTCCACAAATTCCAAATATCCCATTCCTTATCTATGTCTATATTTATATCTATAGCCACACCCAGCACTGTTAGTGTCCAATGAAACTAGAGTTTTCCTACCAAAGGAAGAAAATCTCCATCCCAGGAAGCATAGAGTATAAAACTGACTTTAGAGGAGACAATGGACATGAGAGATTAGTGTGGGGAGGTGTTAATGTGAGCCAGTGCATTTATTCATATATTATCTTGGTTATGGATAAGGCTGAAAATTTTGGCACTTAAAATTGTGCCCCCTATACTCTTCCCAGTACAAAAACAGTTAACACACTGGGCATGCAGAAATCCTGACAGCCCCACCATTCAGAAGGCTCTTTACCTGAGACGCCAGATACTAATTTACGTGTAGTATACATACAAAACATATGACATGCAAGGCCTTGTTTTCAGGATGTGAATGATTGTGCTGTTACTCAACCCTGTTTTCTGTGCATTAGATCTGAAATATTATCAGGCCATTTTAAAATAGTGGTGCTACTGAAAACCATGTCCAAAATCCTATTGAAATCTACGTGAGTTCAAGAGAAATCACACAGGTTGCTGCAGCTACGGTAGTTGTAAGGTGCTGGGCCTGTGCCAGATGTGTGACTTCTTCAAAAAGCAAAAGCAGCTCACAACACTTATTTTTGAGGTCTGATAGAATTCTGGTCACTGTATCCAGGAGCAATCTTAACTAAGTATTTTCTTGGTTAACACCAGCATGCACAAATTATTTACACAGTACATCACAACTATTTGAATATTTATGTGGGAATACCTGAAAAGTTTCCTGGCTCTGGTTTTTTTTGGGGGGGGCAGGTTTTATTTATGGATTGTGAGCTGGGCCTGTTGGCAAATTCTATACACGTTACTGACTACGGAATGAAGGGTGTGGAACTGTACCAGTCACTGCCCTGATAACAGCATACCAGGAAAGCACTTAAATGAATATATGGAGGTAGGCTGTGGAGTGGGTTATCAGGCAATTGCTGCTCTTTGAAGTTTGGGGCCTCTTCTTCAGTTTCAATGGCTAAGGCAGGTCTTCCATTTGGAAAGATTTGGGAGAGGTTTCCCCCCCACACACACACACAGTCACTCTTTATTATAATATAAACAATGAAGAGATTTACAGCCACTTTACGATCAACAAGTTTTACTTGACATAAGCTTCCATGCGAATGTTTGTGTTATAAATATAAAGATTTGAATACAAGCATGGAATACTGTACTAAGTAGTTACTTTGGGTCCAGATTAGATATAAAACAGATGTGGCTGCTGCCAGTCCATGTCCCCCTGAACAACTACTGAAGGAATATGGATAAGGTCATGATGCTTAACGTTCTCCACTTCTAATGTATGCTTGCTTAAAACGCAAGCAAGGTAGGTGTTTAATGCCAGTCATTCAATCCTATTAAATTGATATCCATAAACAAGGGAATGCATGATAGAGACATGCATGTATCCTAGGAATAAAAAAGTCCCACACATCTTTGGGAGTCTGATTATGTGATTCAGGAGTCCCATGGTGTTTTTCCACAAATTATGATGGGTATCAAATCATCATGTATACATCTGATCCCAACTGATGCTAAAACTATATAGGCCCGTACCAGTTAATACCTAGAAGGAAATCTCCAGGGAAATCACGGTAAGGCTAAGAAAAATCCTGTCTGAAACCTTGAGGGGATGCTGCCAGTCAGAGTTGACAATACTGAGCCAAATGGACCTACAGTCTGACTCAGTAAAAAGAAACTTCCTATGTTCCCAAAATGATATATTCTGATTGTGGGCAGGATGGATCCATTCAGGGACAGAGTGGAATTGTCAGTGGTTCAAGAATTATAAGAAGTGTACATTGAACCCCAAGCCTAATTATGTTGCCAATCCTACTGATAACTGTTACTTCATTAGAATTCTTATAGGGTCAGGAAGTAACCCACATCTCAGTCAAGTATTTATATTCTGGTGCGTGAAGGTTAAGACTGTACTTTGTTCTCTATTGTGCAAACCACCCAGAGAACATATCATCATCTTACAACTGCAGAACTGGAAGAGACCCTATGGATCATCAAGTCCTATGTCAAGGAGGCACAGTAGGAAATCAAACTCCCAACGTCTGGCTCACCAGTCAGATGCCTAAACCACTGAGCTATTCAGAAGTTATTGATGAACATCTATATAAAAAAAGGTAAATAAATTTTGAAAAGGAACACAATACACTAACATAGAATACTAATTTGTTGGGGTGAAGATTGGATAATGAGGCAAACAATGCCATGTTTTGCTTTTAATTCAACAAGACCCATACTTGTTAAATTTTTGGCATAACTAGTACAGAAGTGCCTCGCTAGACGATGATAATCCGTTCCACTGAAATCACGGTTTAGCAAAATCATCGTCTAGCGAAAAGCATTTCCCCATTGGAATGCATTGAAACCTTTTTAATGCATTCCAATGGGGAAGAATCGTCGTTGTCTAGCGAAGATCAGCCATAGGAAAGCCGCTTTGTGAATAGCTGATCAGCTGTTTAAATAGCTGTCTTGCAAAGCTTAAGTCCCGAAAACACCCGTTTTGCAAGCACGGGGAGAGCTATCAAAATTGTTGTCTAGCGAAAATTGGTTTGCGAAGCAGGGACCAAACATTGTCCTGCGAAATTCCCCCACAGGAATCACTGTTTTGCGAATCGCTATAGTGATCGCAAAAAGTCAAGCAAAAAAAAACAAAAAACAAAAAACAAAAACAAAAACCTGTCATGCCGGGTAACTGTCTTAGCAAGGCACCACTGTATGTCTATTTATTATACAATTATTCTTTTACCCTTAGCTTTGATCCATAATTAGAATTTGATAATAAAAAGCTATATAAAGCCTGGAGAAAATTTTGTAGTAAAATTAGAACTGCTCTAGAGCCATGGAAGACTCTGGTATGCAGCATACTAGTGTGCAAGGTATTGTATGGAACAAGCAGCAACAGACTGCAGAAAACCTGTGTTTCTTAAATATGACCTATGTAATGAATTAAAGATCTCCATTACTAAAACCAACACTAACAAATTAATTTTTGGAGGTCAGTAACTATTAAGAAAATGAATTAATTCTTTCAAGCAATGTTCCAAGCTTTGATAAAAATAGATAAATGCAGAATTTAAGAGTAAAACACAGATTATCATACTGGTAACAAAGAGAACCTGTTGATTTATCATTCAATATTTCCAAATTAAATTTACACAGTTAACACCAACAAGGGTTAACGAAACTACAAACGTGAGATTATGCTGCCATCTAAAGTTCAAACTAAGAATCTTCTTCTCTCCCACTACAATATTAATTTGATAATACAGTCCTAAATATTAAACAGAGAGTTAATACATTATGATCTGAAAGTAAATGAAAAGTTAAACCCTCAATAATACAGTGTTTTAAGCTGATGCCCAATATAGGAAAGACAACTGAAAAAAACTGAACCTCAGCCAAAGCAGATCCATTAAATTTAGATACCTGATAAATAAAATATAATGGTGGTGAATGTGCAACACATCATACGCAAAAATTACCTTACTCATCACTAAACTTAATATTAGAATCTAGTATGTTATTGCTTATGTGGATGATGTACGTTTTTTCCTCTGTGATGTAATGAAGTTATGTTGCTTACTTCTTCAGCATAAGATAACATGAACACATAACTCAAACCCTGGATACATTAATAATTATTTTCTATCACACTGCGTAGTTTCTCCTAGGGGTAGTATGGATGTGGATTTGTATTTCATACTGAAAGCCTGTAACGTCATGTCACTGTTGTAAGTTGGACAGTAAGACACACGTACTGCCCAAAAGCTTAAAGGGAGCTGTCTGAAAGATTTTCTGTCCAAAGTATATAATTTATTTATTTATTTTATTTTATTTATTGATTTGATTTGTACCCCGCCCATCTGGTCTATAAGACCACTCTAGGTGGCTTCCAATATAACATAAAACAATAAAATAACACAAAATATAAGACTTGCTGTTCTTTTATTACAATCATCACTGTTGTCGTCATCATCTTAGAACTGCAGAGCTGGAAGGAAACTTGTAATTCATCAAATCCAACCCCTCTCAAGGAGGCACAGTAGGGTATCAAACTCCCAACCTCTGGCTTCACACCCAGATGCCTAAACCACTGAGCAGTTAAAACTTGCTTTAATTTGGGAACACAGTTTTGTCAAGAATAAATTATTTTACAATGTCCCTGAAGAATACTACCTTAGTTACAGGTGGTTGAAATCACAGGTTGAAATAGTGGTGTATTTCTGGGAAACCAGCCAATGTGTGTCCACATCCAGCATCCCATTATACACAGTGGCCAACCAGATGCCTTGAGAAGCCCACAGCAGAACATAAAGACAGGAGCTCTCCTTCCTGCTACCTCCAATAGCTGGGATTCACTGGTATATTTCCTCTGAATCTGGGAGGCTCCACACAGTTCTCAGAACTAACAGCGCTGGAAGGCTTTATTATTCAAGTATTTGTCTAATTATATTTTCAAGGAGACCACCATCATCTCTTGTGGCAGTAGATTATGTACATTAACACATGGAGACTAGCAAGAAATGATCTAAGTTGAGAAAGTATTTGCACAGCTTAGGATAACATTACTTATATTAAGAAAATTTATCAAGAATCCCAGTGACTTTAAATTTTCACTAATGGAAAAAGTTTCATTCTGACTCTGTAAGAAATCATGAATACTTGCTTCATCTTGATTCCTCAAGACAAAGCCCTCTGAGTAAATGAAACAAGTTTACTGATAACTGTGTCTTGTATACTTGCATTTGTAGGAGACAAATCTGTGTAGTTGCTAAGTCTAACAGCTTGAAGAACACAGACCACAGGTACATCTCAGCTCAACATCCAATACGCTATGAACATGAGAATGTTCAGTATTTTAAGCTCTGAAACCTAAATCCTAGATGGTTAGTATTCAGATCAAATTTTACCATATCAGACAGACTGAAATGTATGTTGTAGAACAGAGGTCTCCAAACTTTTCAGAGTTAGGGCCACAACATATATGTTCCAGATTTTCAAAGGCCTAAGGAAGATGCATGTGCATGTATGCTTGCCCACATGCACTCCTGCCCGCCAGACTGGATAACAAGGCAAGGCAGGCTGGATGTGGACCATGGCCGTAGTTTGGAGACCCCTGTTGTAGAATAATGTAGCACTTTTATTATACCACTAAAAATCAAACAATTAATGCAAGCTGTTGTGGAATAAAAATTCCTACTTCTTCAAGCAAACACCAGTAATTTGTGAGTGGTGCAGCAAAACTATAAATTTGCCAAAAATACATTGCAAAGATGTCCAGGCAAAATCTTCTTAAGGTGTGTTGCTTTCTTCTACAATTTGCATTGCATCATGACCACATGGCTTCCTTTGGATTTTTTTAATGTATGTGACATCTTAAAAATGTAAGCACTGTAAATTATGTTGTAGTATACATATTTATGCTAAATGTACACAGTTACAGCAATAATAATAAGAAAACCAACCTTCATCCACTGTAAACTGACAGCTCTTATCATTGTAGAAAAGTATTTTCTTCTTATCAGGACGTGTAACGAAAATGATCTGGTCCCCCAAGACCTCAAATGCAAAACACAGAAGCAAAACTTATTTAAGTATTACAAAATTAGATTCTCTGCAAGTTAATTTACAAGACAAGCAGCGGAGCCATTCAGTAGTAAAACTCTATTTTGGAATCAGTATGAAGGCTTGCTGTTAACTGGATCATGACTCATAAGAAGTAACATAACCTGTATAATTAGAGAAGTTAATTGGTGCATAAGTGGGCAAAAATTCTTACCTGCAATATGACATTACATTTAAAGGATATAAATTATTTATCCATAATTTCCTCATTATGTTTGGCAAATAAGGTAAAAGAGAAAAATCATAAATTTAAAATGTAACATTTAAGCTGCATAGTTTGTTGTCTTATGCTGGTAGAAGAAAAAGGTCTAGCTATCTGCATTAAATTATGCATGGTGTAGAGAAATTGGTAAGAAGACTTCCCCTCAGCTTGGTAGAACTAAAACTCTATGTGACCCAATAAAGCTTAGCAGTGGGACATTCAGGTCACATATACAGCACACAGTTCAACAAGCGCACACTATGGCAAAACAAACTGATTGGCACTTACCTGGATATATTTACAAGTAGCTTAAAAAACACAACACTACCAATCACTAGTAATCATGATGACTAATTTTCACATTTAATATCACAGGAAGTGAAACAGAGCTATCAAAATTACTAGCCACTTGCCTTTTATATCAGAAAAGTCAAGGATAAAGACAAGCCTTCCACCACTCATCCCATGTTACATGGTGCTACTTGCAAATGATTTGCAAAATACACACTACGTTCGAAGAGCCTTCCTGGAGATACAATACAGTAGTGCCTCGCAAGATGATGTTAATTCATTCCGTGAAAATCGCTGTCTTGCGAAAACATTGTCTTGCGAAATGCGGTTCCCCACTGGAATGCATTGAAATCTATTTAATGCGTTCCAATGGGGGGAAAATCGTCGTCTTGTGAAAATTGCCCATAGTTTTGCGAAGTGCGGACCCAGCTGTCAAAATCGCTGTCTTGTGAAAAACCGTCCCTTAAAAAATGTTTTTGAGGTAGAAAGTGGAAACAAACATCACTATTTGCTTGCTAAGGGTTTGTTCGCCCTAGCCTAACATTAAAAATACTAATGTGGTCTCACACATGAAAAGTCAGAAATCAAATACCTTTTCAGTTTCAACTAGTGCAAGATCCTAAAGAATCCTAAGGATCTCAATATCAGTTCACCTTTAGTAAAACTAATATATTTAGGCTGGATATTTTCACTGCAAATATCTTTCAATACATATATTTTAGCATGAATTAGTGGCTAGAATTCAGAGGGAGCCATACCCCTTCCTCTTTTTTATATCTATATCTATCTTCTTAGAATCTGCTTGCACACTACTGCCAAATGCCCACCTTCAGAAACAAATCAATTTTTAAAAAGAGCCTGGGGTTTGAAATGAGAAAACAAAAATGGTGCCAGCACACACTACTCTTACATCTTTTCTTTTAAATAGGTCTTGCACCCAATTCAGGAGAGTTGAAAGAAAAAATAAAAAAAAGAGCTTTCCATAAATCCAGATTATTCTGATAGAACTTTTTCACTGAAAAGTAATTTACATATCAAAATGCCTTGTTTCACAATTTGCTTCTGTGGCAGGAGAAAGTCTACCATGACAAGTGTTGCTTACCTTTATGGCTTTCTGAGCATTGGGCAGCCCTTCTTCAATATCTTCTAAAAGGATCCCTCCCAATCCTCGCTGGTCATGTTTGTCCAAGAGTCTGAGGAGGGCTTTTTTATCTTTTAGATTGTATTTAGGTTTGAAAGCATATTTTCCGTCTACAACTTCTATTTTGGGATTGTTGACAAGGGCCTGTAACATGAAGAGAAATTTCCGGCTAATAGGAAAGGACACACTTAGGGCAGCATTAAACCTGGACTTCTGCTGGCAGAACAGAAGAAACCAATGGCAATGGAAGGAGGGTGAACCCACTACCCAGTGGAGTCCTCTGTACACCTACAAAATGAGTTCCAGAGGGCTGAGAAAACATCTGGAAATGGCTTTCTGATCGCAAAGGCAGATGCTGTGATGGGAAAAGTTTATGTTAGCAAAATCCTGAAGAGAGTATCACATATTTTCATTATATTGCATACTCAAATTAGCTCCACGATAAAAAAAATTCCAAAAGAAAATTACATTATTCCATATATTTGCTCATTTAATGTATACCCCATCTTTCTTCTTTATAGGACCCAAGGCAGTTTATAACATAAATTTATACAACAGATACACTCAATAAATTATAGCAGTAAAACAGTTAATTAATTATCACATTAAAAAATACAATTTTAAAAACATTTAGAAAAACAACAAATCAGCACCCATCATTAAAATGGCCAGTTCTTGTCAAATGTTAGATGTTGTATAAAAATTGTATTGCTTTATAAAATTATAAAGCGGCTATAAAACAAGAAGCTTGTAATTTTATACATTTATCTCTCTTCACGGAGATTTCTTTCAACCCAACTATACCTGAATAATGTACTTACATTACCAATATGCTTATTTAAATGTTTTATATTGTAAGTCTGCATAGATGAGAGATTTACCTCATTCATTAGCCATTGTTTCTGCTTCAGTCCAATATCTAGATGTTGAGTTTCATCCAATATTTCTTCTAAAGTTAATGGGTGTGTATCACCACGCTGATGCCGGGTCTAGGGAAATGTACCATAATTGCTATGAATTTTTTAATTCACTTTTAAAAAAATTATAGTATCAAGAGTGTATGAATTTCATGCTACAGTTGGCCAGAGAGAAAATGTATACAGAATTTCAAAGAACTCATACAACCACAAATGCTTTTTTACTTTAGTAGTTCACTCTTACTTTATGCCTATTCTGCTTTGTTACAATCTAATCCTTACAGGTTTTCTTTTTAAACACCAGTAAGTAAACTGTCAGGATAGCATCTATCAATTCACTGCTACAATCTTTTCAGCAATACCACACTGCCATTGCCTGAATATAGTTTCTCAAATAAGCATCTATCAATGGTGCCCTAACCTCTTCCAAGGCCTGAAATGATACTTATGATTATAGAAAGAAGGCCTGTCGAGTTAAATGGATGGGAAAATCTTTAGATCAAGGGCATCTTATAGTAATCTATGATGTTCTCTCTAGCCAATATGGCTAAGGCTTAATATTATAGCAAAAGATTTACCTGAATAAGACATCCCACTTGATGTACAATGTAATATCGTTATAATATGCATCCAGGACAATTCTTTCTCCCCAAAGTGTACAGAAATGCAATTTGATATAGCCCTGTTTACTTTCTGTACTTTCTGCAGCAAATAGTACTCGGTGAAACCAATTTAATTTTGTTGCACACACAGGGTTACATTTCGGCTAGAAGGATTATACCGTGAACCTCTCTATCTACAATGCAAGACTCTATTACTGAACTAGGTTTATATACAGTAATTTGGATGATAATGTTTTTATATGCTGTCAACAATGACATCACAGGGAAATGGTAAACCGTTTATGTTCTAAACATTGTGGCACATAAAAACAAATACCTTCTCTTTTTCTCATAAATACTGAATGCACTGCTGCATAAGAGAAAACTAAATCATGATTTCAGGACGTTTGCAGGATTATCCATGAGACAGACCGGCTTGTCAGCCTTCCATCCTTCCGAGGTCGGTAAAATGAGTACCCAGCTTGCTGGGGGGGCAATGTGTAGCCTGTATAATTAAAAATTGTAAACCGCCTGGAGAGTGCTTGTAGCGCTATGGGGCGGTATATAAGTCCAATAAATAAATATAAATAAATAAATGATTTCAGGACGTTTACAGGATTATCCATAAGACAGACCAGCTTGGTCCATAAGATGTTATTAAGTCTCTCACTTGCATTTAAGCAAGCTGATTGAATATAAAAGGCAATGCTTTTAAAGCATTTTCAGTCAGTTTGCAATGAGCCTAAAACAGGAATCTCTCCTTTCTAGCCATTTCTGCATAGAGAAAGTATTCTCAGGACACTGGAGATTATTGATAGTTCTGCACTGCTTAGAAGGGTCAAGCCTTTGCCTCCACCCTTCAATTTTGAGACGTTCAAGGCAGAAATTAATTGAAAGCATACTTCCATCTTCTACCAGGAAGGAAGATGCATAAAACCACAGAATGTCAGGTATCACAAAAGACTGCTCCAACTGGCAAACTTGTGACTGAAACATGAGGCCTTTTCAGCAACTACCTCTTTTTCCCCATCACTGACAAACATTTAAATATTCCTGTTGAAATAAAGTTAATGGTACTGTAGCAGGTAAACTATAAATGGTGCATTGCCTACTGCTTTGAATAAATATCTGGAACAATATGACAATACCTTCATGTAGTTCACTATCTTTGCAAGAACTCCAAATTTGTAACCAGAGCCACTAGAAAGGGCTTTCAAGTTAAAAGATCCATTGCTGTGGTCTGCAAAGGAAAAACATATTCTTATACAGACGTTTCATCGTTCAACTCACTCACAGGTTCAATGCAATCTCCTCTGTTACCAGAGTTATGAACAGTACCAAGTGGTGATCAGATTCATAATGGTACCTTCAAGAAGACACTATATTTTGGAGAAACCAGATTTTTTACAGCATATTTCACTATCCAAGAAGAAACTGTCAAAGGCACAGATTGGGAAAAACCATTTTTTAAAGAAAGTATCTGCTTACAGATGTATAGTAAAAGCAAACAAACATACATAAAGAATTGTGGCACCTCAAAGACTAACATGTTTATTTCTATGTGAGCTTTCATGAATTACAACCCACTTCCTCAGACACATGGAGTGTAACAGTTGAGCTGCTACTTAATGCATAGCACACAAAGACATGGTAGAGAGGTAGGGAACAAATGAGACCAAAAAAAGGAGGTCGTAGCTATACAGATAATAGCTTTCAGGCTGACAACAACATTCACTACATTGCTATAAGCTTCAAGGTACCACAACTTATTTTTTATTTTTGTTATACATGATAAACAGACTAACACAACAACCTCTTTTAATATGTACAAATGCTGTCAACACCTGGGAGTTTTGCAAAACCAGGAAATATTCACCTGCATGTTATATAAAAATCACCAGGTGACCTTCTGCAGGAATGAGACCTGTTACTAAGGTACCACAACTTATTTTTTATTTTTGTTATACATTATAAAATAGACTAACACAACAACCTCTTTAAATATGTACAAATGCTGTCAACACCTGGGAGTTTTGCTAAACCAGGAAATATTCATCTGCATATAACATAAAAATCACCAGGTGGCCTTCTGCAGGAACAAGACCTGTTACATGCAGTTACATAAAACTGTTTTCCCATGGTAGAATCCCACACCATTTTTTTTAAGTATTTGAGTTAATAAACACATAGATGGGTCCAACTGATTATTCATTTCTTACACACTCCTGGGAACCTGGTATGTTCATGCAAAAGGAACATGTTCCTATATCTTCAGTCAACCAATATATCTCGTTGTAGCCATTAGAAACTCCTGGGAACCTGGTATGTTCATGCAAAGGGAACATGTTCCTATACCTTCAGTCAACCAATATATCTCATTGTAGCCATTAGAGCAGTCAGTGTGAAGGACTGCCTCATCTCACATGTACCTACTCCATGCAATGTCTATTATTCTGACAATCCCCTGCCTTCCGAAGTAATACATATGGACACACTGTGAGGATTCAGTGACATGATCTTCCTTTCTATCCATCATTACAGTCGACACCGATTGCAAGGGAAACTGTGAAACATTTATTTTCGAACCAAGAAATAAACAATTGTCCTGAACTTGTGTGTCTTCTTTTTCTCCTTCCTCCAACGGGTCAGAAAGGGGTTTCCAACCATTTAACAAGAAGGGGTTACCATAACACACTGTGAGGATTCAGTGACATGATCTTCCTTTCTATCCATCATTACAGTCGACACCGATTGCAAGGGAAACTGTGAAACATTTATTTTCGAACCAAGAAATAAACAATTGTCCTGAACTTGTGTGTCTTCTTTTTCTCCTTCCTCCAACGGGTCAGAAAGGGGTTTCCAACCATTTAACAAGAAGGGGTTACCATAACTGATATTCACTTGTGTGTCTTCTTTTTCTCCTTCCTCCGATGGGTCAGAAAGGGGTTTCCAACCAACTAACAAGAATATCAGTTATTCTGATATTCCAGGGTCCCAGTAACTCTGGAGGAGTCCATTCCTTGAAGGACGTGCCCGTCGGTACAGGGAGCAAGGGAACACCCTCACCTTCCAGGGGGCCGTCCCAAGGGCCATCTCTCCCTGGTTCCAACACCTCCCAAGTCATTTGTGTTCTGCCATGTTCTTCCTCTCTTGTACCCTCCATTCAATTCTTTCTCACCTTTCCCTTTCAATTCGCTCTTTCTCTTCTCTCAACTTTCTCCTCCACTTTCTCGCCTCAGCGTCTCTCCAATAAGAGGGTCGAGGGGGAATCACTGACAGTTGTCTACAGTCTGCTTCCTCTCAAGGTGTTCTCAGTCTTTCCCACTTTTGGGCCTGTGGATCTTGCAGCCAGGTCCATTCCCAACTTGGTCTGCTTCCTCTCAAGGTGTTCTCAGTCTCCCCCACTTTTGGGTCTGTGGATCTTGCAGAGGTAACTGGTCCCTCTTTCTTCTCTCACCTTTCCTATCCACGCCTCTATCTCCTCCCTCTTTTTCTTCTGTTTTCTCGCTTCTTCCAACGGTCCTTCTTTTATTTCCATTCCCCTCAACTCTTCCCTGACTTGTTCTACCTCTACACTTAGTGGAGGTTCTTCAGGTGCTTTCGCTGGAGTCGATCAGGGTTCTCTTTCTCCTCCATTCTCTATCCCCGGGGCAAGAAGGGCTGGCGCTCCAGCGAGCGGGAATCCCGACTTGCCTTCTGTCTCACACATTGCATATGCAGCTGGTCTCCTCATCCCCAGCACCACATCTATGGAGACCCACAATCAACAGTTAAAAATCCTGGCTCTTTGGGAACATTTTGGATTCTGATTATTTTGTTTAGGCTGCTTGCATCTATATTATTTTACTGTTATATATTGGCCAAAAAGTATGCTGCTTATATATCACCCTACAACCCTTAAATCACTCTCTGGGTGGTTTATCATTTAATTATGCAGGGTATACATAGCCCCCCCCCCATGAGCTGGGCACTCAATTCACTGACCTTGAATGAATGGATGGAAGGCTGAGTCAGCTTTGAGCTGGCTACCTTAATGTACAGTGATCAAACACAGGTTGCAAGCAGAGTTTTAGCTGCAGTACAGCAGTTTAAGCACTGTATAGTACCATGTTTTATAATATAAAAATTTATGCCATTTTAATAAAAAATATTCTTTGTGCAGTTATCTTTTCCTTGTGTACTGGAAACACAGGTTTTGAATTAAATTTAAATAATAACAAACCAAATCTCCCTACGTGTCACATCTCCTACAGAAATTAAGTAACATTTCAAACTATCTCCCAATTTCTATAACTGTCCTGAAATGGCAGTTGCCCAGCTTCAATGCCCAGTGATCAGCTATCAAATCTTGTGTCTCAACCACCATTTTGCTTATTTACATTCAATCATAAATTGAAATGGAGGCAGCAGTCAAGAAATCTGAAGAAAATCTAAAGACTGGAAGGGGTGGCTATGAAAGAAGTAAAAAAGATCCTTTATAAAAATGTGTCACTGGAGACAAAGCCCAAGCCCATTCATGCTGTGGTACTAACAATTACTATGTGTGGATATGAAAACTGGATAATGAAGGAAGCTGATTGGGGGGAAAATGATTCACTTGAAATGTAGTGCTAAAGGAGAATTTTATGGATGCCATGGACTGCCAGAAGGACACATAAATGGGCACTAGATAAGCTGGGCTGAAACATTCTGTGCAAGTAAAAATGAGTAAACTGTGGGTATCGTCCTCTGGGCATATCATGAGAAGATATTGCTCACAGAAAAACACAATAACGCTGTGAAAGGCTGAAGGCAGCAAGAAAACAGTAAATATTAGTTGGATGGATTCAATAAAGGAAGCCCCAGTCTTTAGTTTGCAAGACGTGAGCAGAGCTGTTCCTTATAAGATCTATATGTCACAAGGGACTTGGAAGCATATAACAAAACATCAATAAGGTAAATGATTGAGAAGGGGGAGCAAATTAGTCCAACTTCACTCTGTCACCATTTTTATTATTCTCTCCAGATACAGAAAGTGATTTCTGAAGATAAAACCTCTCTGTACCTTGAGGCTCTCCATGCTATTGCAAATACGTACAGATTTTTAACAACTTTGTTTAATCTTAGAGAAGAGCATTTCTATTTCAAGGAGAGCTTTATGGACACCACAGACTGCCAGAAAGACACATATTTGGGTGAAGATCAAATCGGGCCTGAATTGTCTTTCTAAGTAGAAACGTTCACAAAATCTTTAACCGTTGATGTTGCCTTTTACCACACCGTCTAGAGACAAAGGAGAACTCTAATGGGTAACTGAGAAAAATTTGTTTGGGGTATCTTTAAAACTCTGTTTCAAATTAAGGGAAAGCCTTCAATATTTATTGATAAGAGGAAATTAGGCAAAAGTAGTGAACTCCAAATTTGAACATGGCAACTGTTTTATTTCAGACTGGCTGAGCTTTGAAATAAAACAAAACTTTGTTTGAACAGTAGTTTAGTCCCACTTGCCCCCCCCATCAAAGCACTCAATATTGAACGAGAAAAAGACACATTTACCAATGGTTTTAAAATCATATTGATATATTTGTCAAGCTGAGAACAAATCCAATGATGTTACTTAATCTTTAAAAATAATTCTATAGAAGCAGACTGTTGTTCTATCTAAAATGTAAGGGATTAGAATTTCTAACCTTTCGGAGGTTTCTAATTTATTCTTCGGTTTCATTGTGTTGTATTGTATTCTTACACATTTGGGGGTGGGTATATTTTGTCCTTTGTTTATATGAAGGGGGGGGAAACCCCTACAGTTATACAAATATCAGTAAGGAAAGTCTAAACAAAATGTTACAAATTTAAAATCTTTCATAATCCTCATCTGACTTCCTTGGTTACTGCATTTATAGAAATGGGTCAGGAGGCACAAAAAGAAAATAGGAACAAAAATCATACAGAAGCAATTCACAAACCACTGCTATATTTTCTTTAGACTTCAACTGCTCAGAGCATAATTGCTTTCCAAAGAGCAGGAAGGCAAAAGGTGCTTACATCTTTAAGCAAAGGATGAGTGGATGAAGGTGTGCCTATTTAAAATTCTGTTCTATTAAGATTCTGTCTAGCTATGGTTGGCATGCAGTAAGCTTAACATGTTGGTTTTAAACAGCAAGGAAACCTGAAGGAATTAACACAAGAAATACCATGCTCAGATCAAAGCAAAAACACAAAAAGCAATGTTATTTATAAATATGCTTCATTGTTCATAGTGCTCCTGTGGGGGAAGTGTGTGTGTGTGTGTGTGCGGCGGGGGAGATGGGATCTGACATTTTATACATCTCAGATTTATGAATGATTTCCTCCTCGGGTAAGGGTCTGATGCAAATGAGCATAAAGGAAGTTGTCAGCTGCATTCTGCTTCAGCCAATAGTAGCAGAGCTCCATCTTAGCTGTACCAGAGGCTGTATTAAACAGCAGATCAGCACTGTTCCAGCATCCTTTCTGAAAAGAGGTAGGTCTATACATTTTTTTAAAAAAAATATTATCTTGCGATTATTATCTGAAAGCAAAACTGATTCTAAAAACCCAGAACATACATGACTCGTATCTTGAAAAATTAGAACATTAAAAAACAGTTTTACAGTCCCTCTTGCATTTGAAGCTTGATTGTGTGCTATTTAAATGCAGAGATGCTTGCCTTCTACTAATAGAGAATCTTACCATCTGTTCATCATGAAGAATTTATGACCATCCATCTTCTAGAAAGCCCAGCACACCCAAATAATATTTTGTGAACCAGATCCTTTAAAGGCTTTTTGTTACCTACTGATTAATTTGAATCTGTAAGTAAAACTATATGTTTTTAAATGTATAAGCATTAGCAAGATTTTTTTGATCTCCCGATCTGAACCATCAGTAAACCTCACAAGAAAAAAAAGGCCATTTAACCAGATCCACAAAACTGGTCTCATGAAACTAGCCTCAGTCCTTAACATAAGGCTATTGTATAAGATTAATACAGTTTCAAATTATCATTGAGATGCCACCAGTTTGAGTGCTAAATATTCACCACCTTCCAATGCAATCACATCCATACTTGCAATGGGTGTAAATTAGCAGAAGTGATGTAAAAGTAAACATGAGCTGTTAGTTTGTATTATACCGGCTGATTAACAGTACAGTCCTATCCATGTCTATACAGAAGTTACTCCCACTCTTTGGTGTGGCTTATTCTAAAACGAGAGGGTACAGGATTGCAGCTTCAGCCTATCAGAAGATTCTGGATCTTATTGAAAACTGTTGTTTATGGGACTTTAACATGATCCACATGCGCTTTATTGTTCTTCATATAACTAGATAAAATTTCCTTTTACCATAGCCCAAGGAGAAAGCAGTTTTTAATTTAGAATTAATGCACAGGGAAAATCATAAAATATTTTTAACTGCCACTTAATTGTATGGACTTATAATCAAATGCATAAATATTAATTTTACTGTAAATACATATTTTATGTCAATATTTTAATTTGAAGTCATCAGTGTGAACCCTTTTTTAAAAAAATTGTTATATGCCATCAAGTCACATCCAACTTATAGTGACCCTAAGGAGGTTTTCAAGTGAGATATACAAGGAGTGGTTTTACTATCCAAATGAGCTTCCATGTCTTGAGAAAGATTCAAATCCAGGTCTCCTAGAATCAGTCAACTACACCACAATGGGCAATACGGGTGAACCTTCTACCAGAATGTATATACAGGCAAGTGTTTGAGTTAATCATTATACAACAAAAGTCACAGTTATCTTTGATTGGTAAATAAATCTCAGCCTAATTGTCCTGCCACAAGTATTTCTAGTGCACAATCATTCTCTTTACTAAAAAGGATTCTAAAATTATCTTGAACAGAGGGTATACATTTTACCCTCTCCCCAAATAATGTCCGTTAAACATGTTACTTTTCAATCTTTGTACAGATGTACAATTAGTAATATTAGAATCTGACCACTATTCATCAAATTCACATTTTAAAAAAATTACGCACCATCAAAACCAGCACACTGCACTTTTTTTTAACTAAAATGAACCACAGTTTCAAGATATTTTATATAGATGCTCAAAGGACAGTTCCAGTTGCTGTTACTCTAAGTAACTATATTTTATATATATATATATTTTGAAGTCACTGACAACTTTATCAAAATTTTCGACACGGAGAGATTCTCCAGAAAAGCATTCGGCATGCAAAACTCCTCTCTCTTACAGTTGGCTGGTTTCTCTAATAATTTTCTATACTACACAAACCATGCTGTTAAACATAGATATTGTTTGTGCATTTTCCCACATGCCCCTTGCATTCACATCATATAGCATACACAAACATTCTTTGACTCATTTCAGTATTCCCTGTTGCCTATAAAACAAATATATCCTATGCAGCTTTGTGCCAGTTCTATTATATATTTATAGCCTGAAAAAGACACAACAAATTAAGAAAAGTCTGCAGCTAATAGTCTTTAAACCATGGCCCAAGCTCCTTTAATGCATTCCACTACTGCCAAGTGGCACATAACCGGAAAAGGGCAGTGTGGGCAAGTGGATAGCATTCCACTACTGCCAAGTGGCACATAACTGGAAAAGGGCAGTGTGGGCAAGTGCTCTGTCCCTTTCCTAAATCTTGCATTATTTGAGGGGATCAGAGTATAATCCAGATGCCTTGCTTCTTGTTGGGCTTTTTTTTCCTTTTCTTTCCCCCATTTAAAAGAGTAAAGCACAGTGGAGGTAAGAGCTAAAAATTAAAATGACCAGACTGAGGTAGCTATGATTTTCCAAATATTCTCTTAATGCCATCTCATCAACTTTTTGCATATTTTCCATGGACAGGCGGTTGCTCTGTGTAACAGTGAAACGGCAAAATGCAGAGAGGTTATATATCCCTAGAATGCTGGCTGAGGCAGATTCTTGTCTGCAAAGGGTGCTACACTGGAGTTCATGTAGCCAGCAAACTGGAGAATGAAAGGCTCACATGCTGTAAGAACCAAGGTTATCTCAACCATTGAGGCAAGACAAAAAATGTTTTTACCTACTACTCATGGATCACTCATATGACACCTAGTATGAAAAAAACTGGTGAAGTTCCCCTGCATACGCGTTGAACATGTTGCACTGCTAGGGTTGACGTGCAAAAAGACCATACTGGGCATGACATTCCCTAGAACTTTTTCTGGTGCTTGCTGGGTAGAGGAAGCGTGGAAACGTAATATCCATGGTATTACTTGCCCATTTAGGAAAGGATAAAATAATAAGGTGGCAGTCCTAGTGAACTCTCAGTCATTCCCTTTACATTAATTAGAGACTTTCGGGTTTGGGTGAATGACAGAGAGAGAGGGGAGGAGGGGATTGTGCATGGAGAATATCCTGCAACATGGTGCAGCTTGAACAGGGTTTGCTAATCCACCCAGTTTGCCATACTGCTCTGTTTCATTTGAGGGATGGGTCATGAGCAACATTCCCTCTAAGGCACACAGGCGCACAGAGGCTCATCGGCACCACGTAGTGAGAGCCAGGGGTGATTTCTGTTTACATCCAGGTTTCAAATGAAACCGCACCCACCCTGGGTACAGATGGGCATGGCTCCCAACATAGCAGGGATGACAATTAGAGGGAACATTGGTCATGAGCTTTTAACTGTGGAGTTTAACAGGACCTTCTTGACGCAAAACTGGCAAGGGAGTTTTTCAAGCACTGAGTGGAGAAATCTCTCCTTCTCCAAATCAATCCTGAATCGTACCACCCCCAACACAACCAGTTAAACTTTCTCGTTGTTAACTAGATCTCCTTTAGTAATGAATAGTACTTGAGAAATAATGATACAGTTTGAGTGATGACTCTAATTTAACTCTTTTCTCACATGGAATTCATCATTCCAAGTTCAATATCCTGTTGAACTGCAGTATGTTGGTGGACCTTCCACTCGACAGAAGCTCAATAAAACACTTGCCTAAGAAATTTAAGAGCCCAAGAGTACCAAGGAAGATATTTTGGTATGCTTACAGCTAACCATGCTGATCAAATATATTTAGTGACTTAAATATAAAACTAAGTAAACACACTGCCTACATAGTCATATTCCATAAGACAGTCCCTTTCCTGTGAGACAATTGTAGTTACAGAGCTAAGAACCAAATGGGGGACTGTTTAACACTATTCAAAATATACACCACTCAAAAGATACACAGGCTCAGTTCAAACAATCATATTTTAATAAACTGTGATATGCACAACCATTTTGCCTCTACGTATAGCCCCTTCTTTCTTCTCTTTGTGGCATACAGCAATTACTGTACATTTGTTATTCACAGTTTCCCATTTTGTCCAAACTGACAAAGTTAGTTCAGAACAATCCAGATCTCAAACATAATAACTTCAAGGACATTGTTCTCAACCTGCTAAAGGCTCTTGGACCATTTCTGGGCACAATTCAGAGTTGCAGTTTTGAGCTATAAACCCATAAAACTACTCAGATCCAGGTTCTCTGAGGGATACGTCCTCCATTTGAGTCTCCCTGAGTTTTAAAATCTTTATGGGAAGTTCTCTCGGTCCATCACCATCACAGGCATGCTGGGTGCAGACAGTGGTTTCTCCCAGGCTGTGAAACCACCTTCCATGAGAAGACCAGCCTGGCTCTCTCCCTGTTGTCCTTCTGCTTGCAGGCGAAGAGCTTTCTTTTTAGACAAACTTTTTTAAATAAGTAAATTACTTACTCAGAGGGTAGTTTAATGGGATGAGGCTTTGTAGTATCTTTAAATGTTAAGTATGTTTAATTTTTAAAATTTGTACTTTATTGGATTATTTTATTAATAAATTATTGTATTATTTATTATCTTAGTTTTTAAATACTTTGGAAGATGCTTTAGGTCCCTCTCAGAAGAAAAACCAGGTATAAATTAAACATACATTCCTACATGTTTCGCTTACCGATTTTCACATAGTGATGTTTTTAGAACAGCTGATCTGCGGTCCCAAAATGGCCGCCGGGTAAAAAAAATATGGCCGCCCGCTGTGTTTTCGCACCCATTCCTCGCTTACCGGGCAGCGAAAATGGCGGCCGTATGGAGGATTTTCACATAGCGGTGAGTTTTTAGCTCATAGAAACGCATTAAACGTGTTTTAATGCATTCCTATGGGCTTTTTTGTTCCGTATAGCGACGAATCCACATAGTGACAATTTTTCCGGAACGGATTATCGTCACTATGTGGGGTACCACTGTATTTCAACAGCCACTGTGAATGGGACAGGCATACTGCTGAGGACTTCTTAATGTTGGTTAATTCAGTGGCTCCAGTGCAAGCCACATTTATTCCCGAATCAGAATCTGAAATCAGGGTTTTAGGATGGCTAGCAAAACCAGATTAGTACTTGTGATGATAGTCCTGCACCTATGATTCCACCTTTTTTGATGAAGAAATGAAGGTGTTAATGCTGATGATACCCAACTAATTGTACTACCACGTTTTTGGCACAATTGCTTTTAAAAATTGAAGTTTGTTTTACTATCTAAGGTTTTTCTGCTATTTTTCTGTCATGCTCTTCCTTGGATCTATTGTAACAACTTTTTATGTGTTCGACATCTCCAGTTGGTTTCAATTATCATGACTTTTAAGAAGGGTGTGAAGACACATCATTTAAACTGGCTTTTGGTAGTGTTTAATTTACTGTGATGCTTTTAACTACTTGTAGTTATATTGATTTCAGTGGTTTTTATGGTTTTGTTGTTTTTTTCTTCATTTTTTAATGTTTTTCTGGCTGAATTTGTTTTTATTTTATTTATGATCTCTTATGATAGTAAGCTGCCTTGCACACTGCCTAGCAGTAGAAAGGAAGGACAAAAATGAAATAAATTGTAATCATTACAATGTTCCATATCAACAGAGCAATTAATCTGCTATTAAAATAAGCCTCAAATCCAATGGTGATCTCATTTTTTAAATAAAGGCACTGTGGTAAAACAGGAGTGGGCAATTTGGGTGGGTCTTGGGCCATCCAAGGACCTACCGTGGGCAGCTCCAGACCTGGAAGTGGCCAACCTCTTCCCCAAGTCAAAACCAGAAGTGTCTGAGAGCATACTTCTGGCTTTGATTCTGAGAGGTCAAAGGACAGCAAAACAATGCACAAGGGAAGTGTGTGTCTTGTTTTAGTGAAGAATCATTGCTCCTAGAGGCCTGTAAGAGCCGCTACTGGCTTTGGTTGAACTTTCTCCTCCCAATGAGTGGCATGACTGAGGTTAAAACAATAACTTTTACGTCCATGCTTTATTCATACTTTATAAATGCATGCCCATTGTTAGAGACACGTGTTTTTAGACTCCAAACCCCAGAATTCTTCAAGAATTTATCAGTCAGAATATACAAAAGAGGAAGCTGCTCCAGTACTTCTTGGATGTCATAGTCCATGAACTGTAGATGACCCCCTTCCCCAGGAAACACCACTGCAGCTTCCTTTTTTGTACATGTACAACAGGAAGGAAGCAGGAAATAGCCTTGCAGACTTGGCCCTGGTCCAAGCTGGCAAAATGTAGGTATCTACAGGTATGGATCTGTGGGTCTGAACTCCCAGAATTCTGCTTGGAGAATTCTTGGAGAACTGTGGCAGTTGGGAGTCCCCCCGCCACCGCCGCTTCCCCCCCAAAGCACGGCACATCCTGTCCCATTATTTAACAATATCTGACTCAGCAAATGACATACCCTGCAAAAGGCAGCACATCAACACTGTAATACTGTATCTTCAGAAAAAACGCACAGTAAACGGAGTGCTACGGCCCAAAGTTTTGCTTTATTTGAAATAATACTGAAAGTACAACCAAGTGCAGCCACAGTTCCATGCCTTTGCATTTTTCTACCAAGAAGCATCAACTGACCATCAGCAATGGCCATTTTTTATTCTGTTAGTGAGAGAAAACCAAAGGAAGGGAAATTGCTAACTCCATTTTTCTGTTTATAGATCTCCACGTACAGTAGCTGCAGAGGCAGAACCCTCAAGGCGATTCAAGCATGGCAACCGTCAATATCAGCCGCTGGAATGAAACCGCATCGCTCTACCAGAACGTTGGTTTTCAAGTGCAGAAAATCTACCCTTTCCATGACAACTGGAACACTGCCTGCTTTGTTATTCTGGTTATATTTATATTTACTGTGATATGTCTAGTGGTGCTAGCCTTCTTATATGAGCTGCTTGACTGCTGCTGCTGTGTGAAAAATAAAACTGTGAAAGATTTAGAGAATGAACCTAATCCTGTTAGATCTATGATGGACAGCTTCAGGAAACGTGAAACAGAAGTGGTTTAGTGGTGGACTGAACACTGACTCCTGTATCAAAACAGATGTTCAACATGATAACCTTGCGTCCTAGGACCAAGCAAGCCCAATCCTGCCTAGCCTTAAATATAATTATTAGCACTGAGTTGTGGTTTTTTTGGTTTTATTTATTTATTTATTTAGCTTAATAGTGGATAGAAACTTAAATGGTTCACAAAATGTTTAATAATGGATGATCAATGATAGCATTATGTGGAAATTGCTTTTTTGTTTGTTTTTGTTTTACAGTTAACTTCTGTTGACTAGAATTAATTGAATACAATTTTGTTCATCCCACCTACTTATTTACTGCTTTATTTATTAAAATGTATAGTACACACATTCAGTATTTCTATTCTCTGAAAACCTCCAAATAATAATAGCTTGAGATGCAACATATCAAAATGGTAAATGAAACACATTAAGATAGCTGAGGTGGAAAAAAGGTATTAGCGGCAAGAAAATCAATTTGCATATGTATTTTTCTTTTAAAATTGCAAAAAAGTATTCTATAAAAACCAAACAGAGTATTTATATACACCTTACCATATATGCAAATAATATGTTTTATTATTTGCACATAAAATTTTACAATATTTCAAACTTTTCACATACAGTATGTTATCTCAGAGTCTAGACAACTCTGGGTCTTAACTGTCAGTGTTTCTAATTGTTATATTAGAAAGTTGTCAGTGCTTGCATGACTGAAGAATCAGTTCAACAAAAAGAAAACACAGTAACACTGCTTTGTTTCCCAACTGAATATTTCTCTTTTTACAGTATACTTAAAACAGATGAGGCAGAAACTCTGCTAATATGAGGTTTCCTGCATCTGATTTTCAGTGTATTAAACAATACAAGAGAAAGGGGTTTGCCACCAAAACTAGTAAGCTGTCTTAAGACTCTTCCAAAGTCTGCAATATCCAGCACAACCTGATCTCCTGCCATCATCATACGTTTTTCCCCACTGCCACCATCTACATATTGTTGCAGAGAAACATAGCATAGTGATATCAAGATACAAATGTTTTGATAACAGGCTGATGCAACATTTAGCATCTTATAATAATCTCAGAACTGCAGAGCTGGAAGCAATCCTATGGATCCTTGAGTCCAGCCACGTCAAGGATGCACAGTGGGGAGGGGAATCAGACTCCCAACGTCTGGCTCCACACCAGATACCTAAACCAATAAGCTATCCAACAGTTATTTTTAACCTTTGGTTTATATAACAGGGTATGGGCAAAGATTTAAAAATGATTCTGTCATAAAAGTTTTACAACAGGTAGTCATGTTAGTCTGTGCTAGCGTATCAGGCAAAAAGAAAAGAAAGAAAAAGACAAATACATAGTTGCACATTAAAGACTAACTGCTATATTTTAATATGACCTTTCACGGACAAGTCCATTTCCTCAGACAGGGGACCTATTCACGAAAACTCACATTAAAATATAGCAGTTAGTCTTTAAGGTACTACAACATTTTTTTCTTTCTTCTTAGTTTTCTTTTGTATTTGTCTGTTATAATCACAACTACGCTGAAAGAAACACTATATGGTCCCACAATTACAAATTCTTGGCAAGGCTAATAGGCTACTCCATCAACAGCAGCACCGGTACTGCTGCTTTCACTAAACAGCCTTGAAAGTTTGCCACCACTGGCTTGTAGAAGGAAATGAGAAAGAGGTATTTGTGCTACAAATATTGACTGGATATTGAGGTTTACATCTTAACATGACTCTATTCCACTGCGCAACTACAAGCAGCCAATAGGATTCCATGTGCTTTCCTGTGTGAATGGACCACCACTGTCAATTACAAGAACACCTCCCTTTCTCCAAAACAGAAATCTCAAAAGATACAGATGAGCCCTAGTAAAAATCAAGAGGTGTCACTGTGTATCTTTCAGGGACTCATTCCATCTCTCTTACTTCAAGACTATGATTAGATGTAGTATCATAAACATCTATAATTGGGATGTTAGCATCTTTTTCATATAAAATTGGAAGTTGACTGATCCATAACTGATCCATCACTTTCACTGCAAACCAAGAAAGCAGCACCACTAAGTAAACATACCAAACACTGGAAAACAGCTACAAAAGAAGTCAGAACCATTTTGGTACTACAGATGGAAACTTCAAAAAATCACAGGAACCTGCCTGCAAGTCCTGCACATGATAAAGAAATAGCATCTCAATTCTATGTATTTAATGCCCCATCTTTCTACCCAAACTGGGATTCTCACATGATGAAAAGAAAAAGAAAAAACAGAGTTAAAAACACAAAAAGCTACTAATATTAACACAGAGTTAAATCCTAACAGTAAAGCACTTCAATAAAAAGTACACAATCCACCTATTAAAAGGCCTTTCCTCAGCAGCTAGCAGCTAATCAATTGCCAAAACAAAGATATCTCTCCCTGTCAGAGGGACAAAAAGAAAGAAGGCAGCCTGTATTCACTTTGAAGAGAGCTCTGGGGCCTGTTAGCAGCCACCACTGTAATCAATACTTTATTTCTAAGTATTATTTTTTTTTGGGGGGGGGAACATCTTATGAAAGCTCTTTGGAAAGAAAAAGGAGGCCAGTTATCACCTTCAGATGACTTCATAGGATCAAGCAACAGATCCAGCATTGAACCTCCCAACATTTTTACTGCAAACATTTGATCACTGAAATTATGTTAGAAGAAGCAAACAATGCCATTAAATGATCATAATTGCCCCTGCCCCCAACCTGCCTTTTAGCCTCACAAGAAAAATATACAAAGTCACATGTGGGCTAATGGAAAACTATACTCTAGTATGTTCAAAGAATGAAAAAATGGAAAAGTACTTGTTCTACCTCAAAATCAGGCCTTTGCCTCTTACAAACCTGAGTTTTGTTTTGAGCTTGAGGATCCACTCTGCTCTACTTTTGCCTTTTTCTTTTTAGAAGATGAGGAATCAGAAGAGGGTGTTGGGCGTTTTTCTACAGCAGGAGTAGAGAGTGCTCGTTTCTTGAAAAGTTCTCGTTCTCGTAGCAAACTTGGATCCATATTTCTGTGAAGTAAAAATATATATATGTAATTGTATCCCATTGAGTCAATCCTACTTATGGCAACCCTTTGCAGAGATTTCTAGGCTTCTTTTTAGAAGATGAGGAATCAGAAGAGGGTGTTGGGCGTTTTTCTACAGCAGGAGTAGAGAGTGCTCGTTTCTTGAAAAGTTCTCGTTCTCGTAGCAAACTTGGATCCATATTTCTGTGAAGTAAAAATATATATATGTAATTGTATCCCATTGAGTCAATCCTACTTATGGCAACCCTTTGCAGAGTTTTCTAGGTACAGAATACTGAGAGGTGGTTTACCATTCCCTTCTTCTGGGGATACCCTGGCACTGTGCAGCCCACCCAAGGCCATTCAGGCTGGCTCTATTTGCAGGAGTCACCATTGGGAATCGAACTTCCATCCAGGCTCCACAACAAATACCTAAACCACTGAGCTATTTAGCCAGGACAAATATATAGGGGAACACTGGACACTGTGGCTCTACAGAGTGATTTCTAGCAGGGATTCCTTCCTAGCCCTTTCTGGCAACTGCTGGCATTACTTTGTGGCCTCCTATCTAAATACTAACCTGTCCCAACCCTGTTTATCAACCCAAATCAGGTAAGATAATTACATTAAAGGTACAAATTGTGATTATATGGTTTGCAGGGAAACAAACCAACTTCAAAGCAAAGATAATGATCCTGCTTCTTTTCTCTAAAACCAAGCATAATATGAACTATTGTGTTGGTTTTGTTGTTGTTGAAATGTAACAAGCATAGTTACTGGAATAAATTAACCAAATCTTCTGATTTCTCCCAACGCAGTGGCACAGGAAAAAGAGGACTTGTGTACTTATGGCTATAGGGCCAAATCATGTTCACCCAGATCAATTCTGACTTACTGTACAGATGTACCTCTGTTTATGAATGCCTTGGTTAAAGTAATTTTCGGTTTACAAACTGAAATCCATTGAAAACATTGTCTCAGTTTACGGCTTTTTCCAGTTCGCGAAGAAAGTTTCCCCAGGATGCATTGTGCCTTGATGTTTGTAGCACCGCCCCCGTTCCTATGGAAATGCGCATTTCGGTTTACGAAATTTCTGCACTATGTAACATTCTGGAGAACACATTCATTTCATAAACCAAGGTACTACTGTATAGTGATCCTTTTCAGGATTTTCCAGAACTACTTTACCATTACCCTCTTTTGGGAGCACCTTGGGACTGTGCAGTCTGCCTAAGGCCACACAGGCTGTCTCTACCTATAATAACTATCTAGTCAGCAAGATAAAATTTGCTGTTGTTGTTCTGTGCCATCAAGCCAGAATCAACCTATGTGATAATAATAGGGCTTTCAAGATAAGTGAGATATTTAAGGAGTGGTTTTACCGGTTCCCATTGGCCAAATAGGCATTCAAATCCTGTTCTCCAAAGTCCTAGTACATCACTCTAACCACTACACCACACCAGTAATCAAGATAAAGTTACACACACACACCTGGTGAATGTGTGAAGTGTTATGTCAGGCAACAGACAGTTGCACAATTCAACTGTATAATTTCTTTTACCACCACTGTACAATGCACTGGCACAAGTGTTCTTGGTGCTTTTGTAGCAACTGCAGGCATAACATCAAGTTATGCCCACACAGTTAGGTGAGAGGATATTGCCCATTTTTAATTACATGTACACCAGTTAGTTATCTTAGTCCTCCTTAAACAACCTTCAACATGTTGACATCCTACAGATGTGATGGACTGCAACTTCCACAATCCTAAGCTAATGATTGAACTTCCAGGTTGGGAGAGGCTACACTAAAACAATGCTGTAAAGTAGCTGGTATTATCTTGATACAGCAAGTGTGAGGTTCAACATCATGCCAGAGAGAAGCAAAGCGCTGCTTACTAAGAACTCACTAAGGTAAGCATGCGAATGTGTTTCAACATCATGCCAGAGAGAAGCAAAGCAAAGTGCTGCTTACTAAGAACTCACAAAGGTGAGCATGTGAATGTGTAATTTCTGAATCAATTCATGGACTCTTAGGCACAACAATATACAGTATTAACTTTTGAAATCACCAGAGCCCCACATTAAAAAAAAGAAAAAACTTAAAACATTTTTAAAAAAATATGTGGTGAAAGCTTTAAAAAAATAGATTCACTTCAATCTTGCCAATGTTACTCAAATATTGCAAGTTCAGAATCTGGTTGTTATTTATCCATGATGTTTGCTTTTTTATGTACCCATTAAAAACTGAAGCTAAAGACTTAAAAATCAGCAAGAAGTGATCAGTAAAGTACAACAGCCTTTTATTGGACCGCTTTTATTGGACCACTAAAATATTAAACAAACAGCAAGTGTCTGAGGATGAAATCCACTTCTTTAGGCTAAGTACACTTTGTGGATAATACAGAAAACTTGTAGATAAGAATCCAAAAATTGATGTTACATGCCTGCGAGATGATCTCAGTCTTGAAGCTGGGCCTCTAGCATGGTCTGCAATTTTTGCACCCTGGCTCTTGAGGTTGGAAACATTAAAAAATTCTCTTGAGGACCTAGCATCTTCTAGCACAAGTTAGGGGCTGTAATATGGTTCATTCACCAGGCAGAACCCAACTCACTTGACATAAAACTTTATTCAGTTTATCTATGTTGGTTCTCGCAAAATAATAATAATAATCCTGGGAACTGTAATTTACTGAAGATACAGTATTAAGAATTCTGTTTGAGAGCTTTCACTCTTTGAGAACTACTGTACCTAATCAAGGGCTCCCTCTAGAGACGTAACAATTACTACATCAGATATATACCCTAGGTATGACAGGAATGTTAAATACTAATCATCTTGAAAACAACTTGTGAATATAAAGAAGTTTCCTAAAAGCGATGTGGGAGCAGGATTTCCACGACGCCTTAGAGCTGTTTTACAGATCTTCCTCCCGCTCGCAGAAAAGACTCCTTTGTCCCTTTGGACACATACCCAGATTAAAAAAAACAAAACTTATATAATAATTTCTAAACCACTTATAATTATCAGAGGGCTTATCTTCCGGTATCTTAGGAACTTTGTCTGGGGCAGGAGCTGAGAGAGAGAGAGGTTCTTAAAGTCTTTTGTCTCCTCAATTCCCTCCAAAGGATCCCGTTCTCAGTTCAAAGCCTGCCTCGGATCCCGAACGCCTCGACCCTCGCCCGAGGTATTTAAAATACGAAACTGGCGCTTCTGGATTGATACTGCCCGGAATTCACTCCCACTTCCGCCTCAGGCGGGGGGGTGAGGAAGGAGAGGCTCCCCTGCCTGCTGGCCCCCGGTTTGAAAGGCTGGCCAGCACTCTCCCGAGATGGCGGGGCTTCCTCCCAGCTCCGCGGTCCACGAGACAACAACGACGGCCGCCGCCACCGCCGCCGCCGCTCTTCCCTTCCTCTCACGGGGCTCCCGCGCCCGCCAATCCCGCCCCGCGCCCGTGAGCGCCCCCTCGTTCACTCACCTCGCGCACGAGGCTACCCCCGAAGGGCGAGGGGCAGGCAGGCGGGCGGGAGGAGCGGCGGGGCCCTCAACGGAGCCCGAAGGCTCCTGCTTCCCTATTGGCTCAGATGGCTACCGTAAGGCCTCCACCACATTTCCCATCGTGCCTATTGCGCGTCGCCATGCTTTTACGTCATCGACGCTGAGGTTTGTTTGTTTTTTTTTAAAAATACCCGGAAGTACAGGTCCAGTTGCTAAGGCAACAATTGAACGGCGATGGTAAGAGTTAAAAGGCAGTTTCCTTGTGCTGAAGGAAGCGCTTCCCCTTTTGTAGTATAGATAAGCAGAGAAAGGGGGAAGGGGTTTGCTTTTGCTTGTAGACGTGTAAAAATTTGGGACAGACAAAAGTGTAAATCTCCATCCTGCTGAGCGTTTAAATTACATGTACTAATTATGTGATATATGTACTTATAGCATTTTGCTCTTTGAAAGTGGCTTTTCACCACGCATTTTCCTCCTGGACCAAATCATCATATGAAAAATATCCACCTAGATGCAGTGAGATTATTACTATTTACCTAGGGCCATATATGTGTGTGGCACTTTACAGGACTGTTACCTTTTCAATAAACCAGTCTTTCTGCTGCTTCGGTTCTTATCCTATTTTACTCTGACGTGGCACCCTGTCGACAGGTCATGTGGAAAAGGAGCTTGTGTGATCTTTTTGTAGAGCCCAATCCACTGGACATACCACCCCCTTTGGTAGGGGCTTAAGTGTCAATACTTGGTGCCTCCCAGAAGAGCCTTAGCGGTTGTCCAGAATGTTTCCTGTCTCCATGCACCATTAACTGGCATTCCATTTAACTGAATTCAAAATCTTCATTTATACTTCTAGGAGCCTGCCTTAGAGAGAATGAAGTTTTAGTCTCTGGGAAGTAGTTGTGGGCCACCGAATATGCCTGCAGGATCCATTTGGCTGTTCCTCATTCTCTTGTAGGTCAATCAGTATTTATTCGATTTATCTCCTATCTTCCCATCCGCAAAACTGATATTCAAGGCAAATCACAGTATAATTTAAAACAGGTAAACACTGAAAGAAAACCAAATTGTATTAAAATACAATTGATTTTAAAGCAGTTTTAAACACACACAAAAAAAGCTTTTACCAATTAAAAGAGCCATTCTCAACAGTCAGTTGCCAAAGCATGAATAGGTAGAAATTTTGAATCACAGTACAGTATGTGTAATGAATAGGTAGAAATTTTGAATCACAGTATGTGTAATTGTAGCGAGCATGCTGAAGCCTCTACCAACTCAGGCTTCCAGGAGTGCTCACTCTTCTTCAGTTGCTGCCACCAATTTTATCCAATATTTTAAAAAAACAATAGTTGTTTCAAAACCACCAATTTTATCCAATATTAAAAAAAAAAAATTGTTGTTTCAAAACAAAACTTGTTTATTGGTTTAACAAAATAAAGTAAATCACAAGATGTTAATCAAGGTCTCTCACTCACTGACACACACAGACTCTCCCCTCACTGACTATTTGGATCACAGGCCCATAGACACACTCATCACTAACTCTCACAAAATCTCTCTAATCTCCACATCATACCACCTTTATATATTCCAGCTCCTCCCCCTTCTGCACCACCTTCCATCCCCTCATTGGCTGATGTTCCACTGCCCAGCTGTGACGGACAGGTGAGGGCAGGGCTGAATGCTACATACCTCCTCCCTTAACAAGTTGTTTCATAGGGGAAAAGCTATAGTGCTTTACCCTCATGAACAACGAGGAGCTTGATAAAATTACATTATCCCAACAATACCTTCACACTTACCAAACATTTACATAAACATTAATTACACATCTTACCTGCATGCTATATTTCAACCTTACACTCTATTTGCCAGTTCGATTACATACATTACCACTTCAAATGTTAATTCAGGCGCATACTTAATGACAAACTATAACATTTAAAAATACTTACATATAATTTCTATTGAATACACAATATATAACATTTCTTAATGTGTACATTAACCTTTTATTACTTTCAACATTATATGAGTCCATTAATTTCTTCTCTAGTCTTCTGGTCTTCTTGCGAGGGCATCCGCAGCACCATTCTGAGTCCCTTTAATTACACGAACCTCAGAATCAAAGTCCTGCAGGATCAAGGCCCATCTCATCAGCTTGCTGTTGTTAGCTTTGATAGTTCTTAATCATAATAATGGGGAATGATCAGTACACAAGACAAAATGTCTTCCCCAAATATATGGCTTAAGTTTCTGAACAGCATACACAATAGCAAGACACTCTTTTTCGATGGTAGAGAGATGTCTCTTGCCTCCATCAATGGAGGGATGGACTAAGTATCATGAACTGTATCCAAACATTGTACTGGTGTGTAAAGTAAATACAGGGTGTCTCTGTTAAGAACAAACATAGTACTGTAGCTTCTTCCCCATCACTGGCATGTGTCTTGCCCCCGTATATATTTAACGGATGACTCTGAAGTAGGCTCCTAACATAATTTCAAAGCCTGGCAGGTATATTATATACTTCATGTGCTGAGCCTGCATGAATAGAGCAGAAATCCACTAGAAATCCTAAAACTTGAAAATAGATAATTACAGATAACAAGTTAGTTCAATTAGTTCCTTTTTTCAATAAAAATGCAACTATATTACAATTCACAAGGAATAACAACCTGCAGAATATAAAATCTAACTTGGAAAAAAGATATGTATGGCTGTCTTTGCTCTTCCACATAACACAAGGTAGTTTTCATTGCTACCAGCCCCCATGAGTATGCCACATTACAAGTTACTGTATTTTCATGTACAGTAATTGGTAAGCCTCCTCCAGAACCCTGTGACAATCCAAGGTATGAACGGTTTCCTAGATGTGCATCTTAGCCAGCCACCATCCTACAAGGAAGCAACCCTGGGGGTGGGGGTAGGCAGAAGTTTGCTGGTACTAATTATTAGCTACAGAGTATGTGAACAGGGTAACAGTGACATTTAACCAGATTCCTTAATCCAATCTCACTGGTCCCACAGAATGAAAATAGCTGTCCAAAAAGGAACAGTGTGAGAGAGTTAAAAAGCAGGAGATGATAATTAGGTGAATCAGGTTTTTGAAAAGGATTAGATGAAATTAGGCAGATAGAGCCAATCTCACTTTTCCTCTGTCTCATAGTTCAGGTGAGATGGATCATCATTGACCACACAGTGAATGGGATGATGTCATAATACTGCACATCAAATCATAGCTGACAGTGTAAGCCATCACTTTGGCAATGTATGCTCAGTGAAAAACATTTTACAAGGAATGCTGGAAATATCACTCAATAGAGTGGAGTTTCTTAGCACATTTGGTGCTTTTTAAATGAAAAACAGTTCTTGTATCTGCTTTTGTTGTGATTCCGAGGGATACATAAATGGTTTTGAATACCAAAATGATGTGACTTCAAAGCATACGTACCTATATAGATATTCATGCACACTTGCTAATTTAATAACATTCCTAGGTTAAATACGTTTGATATCTACTATGAGGGCAGCCAGCTGACCACCAGGAGAACTAGATCTGTTTTGTATAATACACCTTATGACTGATGACTATTTCTCTCTGTTGTGGACAGAGTCTAATTATTAGTCCGTAGAGTCAATTCATTGAACCAATGGGACTTACATTACTGATGATACAATGGTATAATCTAGGACAACTGGACTTAGCTCTGTGCATTAATTATAACTGTAATATTTTGAAACACTATTTCCGATTCCCAGTAAATGGCTAGTGAATGTATAACAGTAGGGGATAGAGAACTTTGACCTTTCAAATTGAAATAAAAATATATTCACTCATTCTAGAAAATATCATGCTTTAGTAAACAATTGTACAGGCAGGTACCAAATGCTTTTATAGTAGAGATTTAAATTTGGAGAGTTATACTAAGCATTCTCATAACTGTTGAGTTTAAAGTCCTGAAATGGACAAAACCACTAAATTCTGAAATTCTCTTAGTGAAATTAAAATACCATATTTTCTGTGTATAAAACTACACTTTTTCCTAAAATAATTAGAGGAAAAATTGAGGGTTGTTTTATACATGGTAGTAAGGAGGGGGGAGGGATCAAAGCACTTTGATCCCTGCTTTCCCCTTCCACGTTTTGCAAAGAAAGTGGAGGGGGAAAGAAGGAATCACTTTCCCCCTCCAGTTTCTTGTGAGGAAAGCGCTTTCCCCCTCCACTTTCATTGCAAAAAGCTGCTTTCCCCCTCGCAAAAAGTGGAGGGGGAAAGCACTTTCATTGCAAGAAAGTGGAGGGGGAAAGCGATTCCTTCTTTCCCCCTCAATGTTCTTGAGAGGAAAGTGCATCCCCCCTCCACTTTCTTGTGAGAAAAGTGCTTTCCCCCTCCACTTTCTTTGAATAAAGTGGAGGGGGGAAGCACTTTCTTCCCAAGATACAGTAGTGGAGGGGGAAAGCAGGAATCAAAGCACTTTGATCCCTGCGTTATCCCTCCACTTTCTTGCAAAGAAAGACATTTTGGGTTAGAAAAGTGGGGGTGTCTTATACATGGGGGTGTCATATACATGGAAAAATACGGTTTTACCTCATCAAAATTCATGGTGAACAGCATGTTTAAAAGCCTTACAAAAACACTACCAGTATAGCCTCCAGAAGCAAAGTATTAACCCACCTCTAGTATCTTTTCTATGGAAATGTGCAGATTTTAATTTTGAATTCCCTTGCTACAATTCTGAACCCATGTGCCATGAGGAAAAATGACACTCAAGTCAATAACAAATGATAGTTATGAGCTTTCAATCTATGTCAGTTTTCTTTAATTCCAGTTATAAATTAACCATTGAGAGAATAAGATGCAATATATAAAAAGTCAATAATGGTATTTGTATTGGGAAGAGGGATAAATTCATCCTTCTTTGGAAAAGAATGAAACTTGAATTAGGAAGTATTTATGTAGACGTGAAATATATAAGTGCTAGAAATCTTTTAATTTGACTTCATATTTTAAGCTTATCTTCATAAATGCATAGAAGTTAGCCACAGCTATTACGTATAAACAAGTTTTATTTCATATACAAAAATCCCCAACACAGTTGAAACTAAAGAAAATAATTTATGTTCATATTGATAATAATAATACCTGTGATAACAATTCTGTTATACCCCACAATATCCTGCTGTAGATTCATATTTTTCCCACAAGAATATCTTCTTTTAAAAACAGTAAAACAAATAAAGAACATACGGTTGTTTGCTTCATGCAGCTGTAGCTCTACAGAGGAAGACTGAAGAGCCTACATTCATTTTTTTTGGGTTTCAGCTGTTCTCCAGCCTATACTCAAACAGTCTTCTTTGCCCCCAGTTATCAAACATAGAAAATACTCAACATACTAATACTCTGTGTCCACATTTAATTGAATATTATTCAATTGAATAAAGCTTGCCTGGGGCAAAATACTCTATTTTCCCCTTGTCTGCTTTCTTTGCTCAGGCTTTGGAGCCTAGAAAATCCTATATACTAGAGAGCATGAAGGGTTTTTAAGCTCATATGTAATAATATTCCCTCCCCACCCCGGAAACAAATAAACAGGGGTTTTCTTCTTACATTCTATATTTGGAAAGAGATATATTAATGTACAACTCATCTGAGTAAAACTGAACAAATATGTGCATGAGCTACAGCTTCAATTTACATCAGGTTTTCTGTGTCAATGTATTCCTACAGTATCTCCAACTTCAACCAAAGAGACCTTTGCTTCCTCCTCCTCTTGATTTCTTGGAGGTATTAACACTTGGTACAGTTCCCTTTGAAGTTCCAAACCACTCTGGTAATTTCCTCTTTGAAGGCTGATTTAAGGTCTAAAAAACAAAATACAAATCATGAAAACATTATTTCACTGCCACATACCATTATTTACTAACATTATCACGTGCTTAGATTTGTACTAGTCTCTCCTTTGAACTGGAAAGTATGTTATCAAAGAGCAGTGAGTAGCCCAAGCAGGCTCGTTGAGCTATGCAGTAGCCTAAGAACTAAAGCTGTGTTTCCTTGTCTTTTTTTTCCCATTACATCATTATGGAAATTGCTTATCACCCAAAACCTTCCCTGACAGACATTTATAGTGTGCCAGCCCAAGACATTTTGTTGCCTGAGGCAACAAACAAGATGGTGGCCCTTTTTGTTCTATGTTGACATGCTGACTGGAGACAGCAGCTAAAAAAAAGCAGAGGTGGGTAGTAAATCCCTTTTTGTTTATCTCTTAAATCTTCCCCATGTACTCTCCCTGCATTTATCCCCACTGTGAGATGTGAGGCGAGAGGGTAGAAGTCCACGCCAGAGTGTCGTCCTCCCTCAGGAAAGAACAGGATGCGCAAACAGACCCGCTTACACCACCCACCGCGATGATACAACGGGGAGTGGATACCTGTGAGCTAGAATGGGGACTGTCTAAAAGTGACAGTAGCCACTCAGACAGAGAGAGAAATGGCAGGAAGGGAGGAAAGGGGAAGGACCATCGTGGAGGCAGGAATAGGGGAAATAAAAGGAGGGGTAGATGTGATACCGGGGGGTTGGGAGATGATTTGGGTTGAGGACCCCTGGACCGGGAGATGGGAAAAAGGCTGGGTCCATGAGAAGAGGTCGATTATCGGAGAAGAAAGGGGCTTCCCCCTCCACCTTTGTACTGGGGAGAGTCAGAGGCACGGGAGTGGCATCGGAGACTCTGGGAAGAGAAAGAGGCAGTCGAGAGAGAAGAGAAAGATGTTTATGGGGTCTGGAGGAAGCCCAGAGGACAGACGTGGCATCGGAGACTCTGGGAAGAGAAAGAAGCAGTCGAGAGAGAAGAGAGAGAAAGATGTTTATGGCGTCTGGAGGAAGCCCAGAGGACAGATTCCTGATGGACCGTGGGCCCCTCTTCGAGGAGAAGACCCCCATGATCCAGAGAGGAGAGATGAGGAGTCAATCCCGTTACTAGAATCGGGGATGGAATCCTTTGATTTAGATGACAGTAACCCATTTACCAAAGGACCTTGGAATGACTTTGATAAAGTTGGAGTTGAGAACCAGCTAGTCTGCTTGCTGCATGGTGCACAAAGCCATCGCCATTCACATCTCACCAAGTGTGGAAGTAGCCCAGCTGGCGTTTCCCTGCCTCTCTGCACAGCCGACTGCTCAGCAGCTAAGTGGGGTGACTCGACATCCCACCTCTTTGCCAGACTGGTCGGCTGTGCAGGGAAGCACCAGCCAGGCTACTTTCGCAATTGGCATGATGCAAATGACAACAGCTGTGCATGGCGAGCGGTCAGTGGACCACCCAGTTCAGGAGGGGGGACTGGTTTCCCCAGGCACCTGCATTGCTGATATTCATATTCACATTCCCAGGGATATGAATACGAATTATCTCATCTCTACATGGAACCTAAATTATGTTTGTAGAACTCCATGTCCTCTTGGGGATTTTGAATAATTTAAAAACACCAGCTAGGCCAACATCATACGTGCATGCATGATAACATACAATTATGCCTTAGAGAACAGTAGCCAAAGTCTCCAAGTGAACTTTACAACTGATTGTGCTAAAACCAACATTTCCTCAGACCACACCTATTTTATTCATTATACCACAAGGAAATTGCTTGTCATCACTTTAAGACCTTCCCTGTTGAGTTTCTTTAGCACATCATCCTATTCCCATCCCCCCTGAATGGGCTTATGAACCTGACATGAGAGTCTGATATGGTTTTCCCAAATTGATTTGTAACCCAGTAGGGGCTTAACTTTCACAGCAGCTTAGAAAAAGAGAGTTCCACGGCTACCCCTCACATATAAGGGCCATAAGGGAATCATACTCTCAAACACAGCTGACATCATGGGCAGAACATGTGAACTTGCTGGATGAAAAACTCACATGCTCCTTTACATATACTAGAAATCTCAAAGCTTAAATATAAGAAAAACTGTGTGCTGTCTGGCATCCCTGAGGTTAAATACTATCTCAAAAATATCAGACACCATACTAATATTATCTCAGAAATACTGAACAAAACAGTAATGGTGATACCAAGGAATGTTTCTCAAACATAAACAATGACTATGGTTTTATAAATGATTCATGAGCCATAATTACCTGTGACTGGGAATCAGTAAAGAGATCTTCCTCTTCGGCACTCAGCGAAGGTTGATTCCATGAAGCCAACTTTATGGAGCTTTGACAGCTGTGAACAGCTTGTTTAGCACTGAGGAACTGCTCTTCACTATTGTTCTTTTCCTTTGAAAGAAGCAGCAGTTACAAAATCATTCCATTTTAGTAGATGAACAAGAAACACTGTCTCAGTGAGAAATGATTTAACAGGCATTAGAAACCAGCATAGTAAAATAGCAAACAGAGAATCTTTTTTATTGTTCAGGCTATAATTTGTATGGTCAGCCAGTTCTGAGTGCTCTGTGTGCAAACTCATACTGATGCACACCATTTGGAAGTCTCAATATTTGATGACCCATGAACTGTATGAGCTTTCCATTGAAACATATTCTGCTTTGTAGTAGGTACAAGTTATATCCACATTCTGTGTTTATGTTTGACTTTGAAAGATTATTCATACACGCAAGCCATCAAGTTATAAGCAAGCAAGCATGAGCTAGCATATAGTAATCTTTATATCTCAGTCCTCCCAAATATTACCTCAAATTTAGATTAAAGAGTTTAGGGATAATGTTCATATGGAAATAATTACAGTTTAGAGACTTAAAGGCAGGGTGGAGAACACTCTTTTGATTTCCAGACAGAAGAGACAAAGACTGAATTTAATTGGAGAAGCAATTATCTAGGTCCCTGGATTGCCTGTAAATTTTGTTACATCTGAAATGATAATATAATTACCCCAGATGAAGAATCTGTATACGAGGAACTTTGCTTTGAATTTTTATTGGACTTATAATTATGTTTGTGTCCAACTGATTTTACTGAATACCCCTAGAAGAGAAACAAGAACTTTGTTAATATACTCATTTTAATGAAACTGCTGTTAAAATGTAATTAAGTAGGAAGCTTAAATAGGATTGCATTAAAAAGAAGACAAAAAATCTAAAATTATTTCTTCCGGTCATTTTTTCATTTTAATTTTTAGACAATTATCTGGATATGCAAGAAAATTTACAAACACACGACCAAAACTACATACCAGAATCAAAACCGCATATGAAAAAAAACTGTCCTGCTGTGACAAAAGCCAGTAACAACACACAAGAACTCAGATGAGTCAATTGATGACATACAACATATGATAAAAGAGAAGGTGGAAATGAACAAAACAAGGACTTTCAGAATCTCTGAAAAAATTCTTGTCTCCTTTCTCATACAAAATGATTAATGTCAGGTGGCATAAGTTGCACAAACTGCTTCAATATTCACAGAGAGAACAATGTAATTGATCCAAAAATCTCTGTGGTTGGTAAGATGAGCTTTCAGACACTTTCAAACTTCAATGATTAGATAGTGTATTGTTTCATTGGCTGGATGTTTCATTGACTGGATATCAATATGACATGTTAACAACGGCAAATACCCTGTTTTCCCAAAAACAAGACCTAACCTGAAAATAAGGCCTAGTATGATTTTTCAGAATGCTTGTAATATAAACCCTACCGCCAAAAATAAGCACGAGTTATGTGAAACCCCACCCTCCACCATTGGGCAGCATTGTACAGCAACCAGAAGAAGATGACATGACCACATTTGAATAAATGTAGATTGTTATTCATGAAAAAGAATAAAATATCCCCTGAAAAGAAGCCCTAATGCATTTTTGGAGCAAAAATTAATATAAGACCCGTCTTATTTTGGGGGAAACACAGTATTAATTATACTCATCTCCAGCTTTTCTTTTACAATGCCTTGTATGTCGCAAAACTAATCAGATGAGTTCAACTTCTTGTGTATTGCTACAGTCTATATGTATACCTTTATCTAACATTTCAGCTAGTTGCTATCTCAGGATCTGGGATTCCACACAAGAGAACATATAGCAGAAGGTGGGAAGGAGAGCCCACCCCTCATCTCTATCCCTCCTTCAACAATACAAAGCTACAGCAATGTTAGAGAAAGCAAGGCAGGATGGAAGTGATATTCACAAAGCACTTCCACATGCGTGTTGTGTAACAGGGGAAATGGAAGACATACGATTGATTCTGCAATCTAATTGTGCAATACCGGTTGCCTGATGTAAAGCCTGGCATGCTTCTGCAGGGGAACACCCTCTGAGGCCAGCATGGAAATACAGGACATGTACCTGGCAGAAGGCTTAGTAGGCTTAGTGAGCTTATTTACAAATCTGATCATCAATACTATATATTAAACAAAAGGGACAAAATATAGTAACTGAAAACAAATTTCTAATGAGCTTAGTACTACAGAATTCTTAGATTAACTCATTAACCTGACAACTAGTCCAGCAGTTAGAAATTTTACTGGCAAGAATTGGAGTTCGCCTTCTTACCACTAGGTGTTGCTGTGAAGCTACACTTCATTTCTGCACAACCTTGACCACCTGTTTCATGGAATGAACTGAGAAGGAATTCATTTTTGGCTACTTTCAGGAACAACAGCTACAAGCTAACTGTTCTTTTTCCCAACTGAATACAAGGGAATGTTCCACCTCAAAGGAAGCATCCTGTCATTGCAAAAATGAAACAGCTGCAAGTCAAATTGGGTCCTAAAGCAGAACGGACATACATCAGAAGGCTTCTGATAAAAGTAGTACAGTGGTGCCTCGCATAACGAGCACACCATTAAATGACGAATTCGCATAGTGATCTGTTTTTTGGGATCGCTAATGCGATCGCATATCGATGGTTCCAATGGGCAAAAATCGCTTTGCGACGATCGGTAAGCGTTTCGCTTACCGATCTTCGCATTGCGATGTCGGGGGGAACAGCTGTTCGGCGGTTCTAAAATGGCCGCCGGAAGACCCAGAATAGCCGCGCGCAGCGTTTTCGCGCCCTGCCGTCGCTTACCGAGGGCGCGAAAATGCCTGCGCTATGGAGGTACATCGCTGAACGGTGAGTTTGGGGCCCATTGGAACGCTTTAAACAAAGCTGAATGCGTTCCAATGGATTTTTCTATTCCGTTTAGCGATGTTTCCGAATAGCGATGGTTAATCCGGAACGGATTAACCTCGTTATGCGGGGCACCACTGTACAGGAGAAAATTTAAGTGTGCTTAGGAGATATTTTCCTTGTAGGTTCATGCCTAGAATGTCTTTTCTTATATAACTTACAAACCTTGGTTTCTATCCACAGAACTTCCTCCTCTTTCTTCTGTGAGGACCTTGTACCTGATTGCAGATAGTCAGATTCTCGCGCTTGCTCCTGTTCCTCTGAATCATTCTGCTGGCTCAGCTGGTGTCCTTTATACTGTTTTTCTAGCAACACCATGGTCATTCGTATAAGATACATTTCAATGTTTGCTGGGACTAGTGTTCTGATGGTTTCTTTTTGTGTTATATCTTGGAAGAGGAACACAACGATTAAGAATTATTTTATGGAAAACAGAAGCCATTTTGAAAAACTTTTGCAATTCTCTAAATTTCTCATTTAACACGGCCTTAAGCGTTAAAGTGGCCAAGTTACTTATCAACAGAGTATGCAGTTCACAAAAGGTGAACTATGACAGCCTTTTTCAAAGGTGAATCAAGACAGGCCAATGGGGATTTTCATTAATTGTTGCATATAACAACCCCAATACTGTCAAGCTGGAACCTCACAACTGTAGATTTAGCCAAGTGGGGCCCTATTAGTGTCAAATGGCTGAATGCTATGTCTCTTCATCCATAAAAAGAACTCTTTCAATGGTTCTGGAGACTTGCTATATTTCATCAAGTACAGTTTAGAGCAGGCAATCCCCAGAGGCCTGCAACTGTATGTCACTGGAGTTTGGAGAGCTATGTAGTCCCTTGTGACCCACTTACCCACCGAAGGGGCTGACTGCGGCAGTGGGGACCCTCAGGGAGGTCTCCCATGGTGGCGGGCAAGCCCTGGGACACCTCCCTGGGGGTCCCCGCCTCTATGATCGGCACCTTCGGAGGTCTCAAAGGGCTTCCCCCCCTGACATCAGAGGAATCTCTTTGAGACCTCCGAAGGGAAAAAGGCAGGGAGAAAGGGCGGGAAATCAGAATTTCCAGCCCTTTCCCCCTGCTTTTTTGCCTTTTGAAATGCTGGAACGGATTAATTCTGTTCCCATGCATTTCAATGGGAAACGGTATTTCGACTTACAAACTTTTCGAGGTACAAACGTCGTTCCAATACAGATTAAGTTCGTAAGCTGAGGTACCACTGTAATGTTAAAAAAATGTGAGTTAAGAGGTCCCAGAGGGGCCAAATACCCACAAAAATGGTCTTCATCTTCCCTAGTTGATAAGTAAAGGGTGCTTTTGAGTCTATTTTTGTACCTTTTTTTAAAAAAAAGTTGGGGAGTGCTTTGGATGCCCTGATTTGTGCAGGATATAGGAGGGCCATGGGCTGCAGATGGCCAATCCCTGTCTACAAATTTGGGCTGAATTTCGCACCTGAGTTGATGGGAGGACTCTGGATGATTTTCATGATGATCTCTTGTATTTCAGGAGTTAGACCAGCACGTTCAACATTGACAGGGTAGCCAGCTTTCAACGCTTGGGCTAAATGTGTGCCAACCACTGTAAGGGGTAAAGACCGACTCTCACTTATGCTTCTCTGGGAAACGAAAAAGAAGGAAAATCAGAAAAGGGCGATAAGCCAGGTCTCGACTAGCGAGGGGTCCAGACTTTGAACTCGGAAATTGCTTCATCAGAAACAGAAATAAACAAATATTTGCTGGAATCCACATAGGTTATGCCAGTGTAAGGCCGATGATGTCATCAGCTATGGCTGTTCCACAGGAATTCAAAGTTTCCAGTTTCCTCCACCCCAAAGGTTTCAAGGCACCCTTGGGATCTGTTTCACCATGGGGAGACTGTGGGAGGCGTCGGGATGGGGGAAGTCTTTAATTTCGGAAAATTGCTGGTGGTAGTAAAATCATCCCATCATTGTGATTTTCAGAAATTCAAGGCTTCCCCCATCCCACCACCTCCAACAGTTTCCCCAAAGACGAAAGGCATCCCCAGGGGAGCCTTGGAACCTCTGGGCCAAGGGGATGGAACTGGAAACATTTACAGTGGTGCCTCGCTTAGCGATTGCCTCGTTTAACGATGTATTCGCTTAGCGATGAGGTTTCTGGAGCAATTTTGCACTCCATTTAACGATGTTCCTATGGGGAAAATTCGCATGGCGATGTTCGGGACCTTGCCTCGCTTAGCGATGACAGTTTTAGTTCCCCTGTTTCGCTTAGCGATGTTCCGTTTTCGCTATTTTAAAGGTGTCTTAAAATGTTTGAAACCTGTTTTAAATGTTTGGGATCGTTAGTGCACCTTCTAAAACATGTGCAAACCTAATTTGGCTTTGTTCTGACTCTTCGTTAATTTTTGGTGAATTTTTTTCTCCCCCATTGAAAAGCATTGAACCCGATTTTAAGCCGCCCCGAGTAGACATGGTCTAGAGGGGCGGGGTATAAATTTAATAAATAAATAAATAAATAAAAATGGACATTGCAAAACCATTGAAATGCATTGAACAGGCTTCAATGCATTCCAATGGGGGATACATTGTTTCGTTTAGCGATGTTTCCTATGGGGACTTTTGCTTAAGGACGGCATTGGAACAGATTAACCAGTTTTCAATGCATCTCTATGAGAAAACGTGTTTCGCTTAGTGTTTTCCCACAGTGATGTTTTTTTTGAACCAATTAACATCGTTAAGCGGGGCACCACTGTAGTTCCTGCAAAACAGCTGCAGCGAATGACATCATTGTCTTCAGTGCTACATTAATTTATGCTACTGGACTTCAGCCAGCGTTCTCTAATAATCTTAGATTAGCTGCACATGCAAGGTATTTGGTGGACACCTAAAAGCCCAGTGGCTGGAATCCTATGGTGATTACATAAGGTTTGTATAAGTTGCTGCCACTAATTGCAGCTAATTATCAATGTGACAGTTTTCTCCGCTGTGCAATTAGCCATGTGACTAGACATGGATTGAGACATGCCCTAACACCTGTTTAGATAGCTACAGTTAGCCACAGCAAGTTACACTAAACTTATGCAAAGGCAAATAGGATTCTAGCCAATGCATTAATGAAATGAATATGTTCTTGAGATTTGTACACCACATGGATGCCAGAACTGGCTCCATCTGTCTGTCATGTGTATATTATCAAACCAGGGTTCGCTACCATGTAGTGGAACGGTTTCTCATACTGAAACATACAGAGTATCAGGTGTTTTCTTAAACCCCACTGTTCTTCAACTAGCCAGCTATCACCTATCTTCCTCCTCAAACACCGTTTGGTGCTTATTCTTAGGGAAGAAAATGTGTGAATCTCCCCCTTTAGCCTGCCCGAGATGTAAGATTATCAGGAGAAGCCTTTTTTTTTTCTGTTTCATCACCCTTACAGGCATGTCTAGTGAGGGCATTTTCTGTGGCTGTTTCCAAGCTAATAAACTGCCTTTCAAGGAAGGCTAACCTAGTGCCGTCCCTGCTATACTTCCACTCATGGCTGGCCATGAAGAGGCATAGTGGCACTCAGACCCCCCCCAGCACCCCCAGCCCAGCTTGCATGGCTCCAGCTGCCCAGCAGTAGCAATTGCACCCTCTCCACCAGCCCTAGTCAGACAGAGGCTACTGGTGTGCTCCCTATGATGGGGCAGTTATTGCCCCTTGTCACCCGGTTCCACATTTAGAGAATCATAGAAAAGTGAAGTTGGAAGGGACATACAAGCCATCAAGTCCAACCCCCTGCTCAGTGCAGGAATACAATCATAGCATATCTGCCAGGTGATTATCCAAGTTTTTCATGAATGCCTCCAGTGTTGAAGCACTCACCAACTCCCAAGGTAACTTGTTCCACTGTTGTATTGCTCTAAAAGTTAGGAAGTTTTTTCCTGATATTCAGCCAAAATCTGGCTTCCTTTAACTTGAGCCCATTGTTGCATGTCCTGCACTCTGGGATGATCGAGAACAGATCCTGCCCCTCCTCTGTATGACAGCCTCTCAAATATTTGAAAAGTGCTACCATATCACCCCTCAGTCTTCTTTTCTCAAGACTAAACATGCCCAGTTCTTACAGCCTGTCTTCATAAGGCTTGGTTTCCAGCCCCCTGATCATCCTTGTCACCCTCCTCTGAACTTGTTGTTCCAGTTTATTAGCAGCCTACTTGAAGTGTGGTGTCCAGAACTGGACACAATACTAACCAGTGCTGAATAGAGGGCTGTCTTTCAACTTCCTGTACATGTCTTTTTTCATTTTTAGGTCCTCCCTGAGCTTTGTCTGAAGCCACACCTGCCTTTTTTTGCCATCTCCCACCTTTTTTTCTTGTTGGAATTATGTGTAGTTGTGCCTTTAGAATTTCTTTTTTTAGAAGTTCCCACCCTTCTTGGACTCATTTTTTTGTTAGGATCTTCTGCCATGGGACTTTAGTTATCCTTGTTCTGAGATTATTAAAATCGGCTTTTTAAAAATCCAGCAGAAGTGTGTGGTTACACTCTGCTTTGGTTTCCTTTGAAATCACTGACAGGTCTGGGGATCATGTTTTGAAGGATAACTGTCATTAAGAGACAGAAAGACCGAGTTGTTTTCAAAAGCTTTGCCTGACAATATATTACATACTGTTGGGTTAAGAATCCTCAAGCAACTTAATTAAGATGGAGGGGAAGAGTGGATGCATTTGGCCTTATGGACTGCAAGTCATGCTGACCTGGAATATATACTATTGTTTGTACCTGACACGGCTGGAATTAAATAAACAACAATTTTTAAAACCCTGGAATGCTGAATATACATGTGTAATTCTACATAGTAGTTCATAGCTGCTGAAAAGCAGTTTGGCTTTAAGTGAAAATGTACACTAATAACAGAATCACTAAACATAACCAATTTGTGTTTAATATTTTAGTATTAAATATACCAAGCAGCTTTTAAAAACTGTCTATGCACATTTTCACAATTATTTTCTTCCCATAAAGACAATAGCTTTGTATTACGTTTGCTGACTTTCTCCTAGACAGTAGCCACCAGGGTGGACTCTGTAATCAATAGTTATTTGATACAAGGCATCAAATTACCTCCTGCTAATTGTATTATTGCTTCTTGTTAATTAGTCCTTGGGCATTTTAAAATTTGTTAGCTACCTAACAAGAAACCCTCCTGGGAGTTGGGTGTCAGTGAAACTCCAGCATCAGGGCAGAGCTGAACTGTATGACAAAGTAGGGGTACTGAAAGTAAGATTGAGAACTCAGCCTATGTGGTGGTGGTCATTTTTTTTTCCTAAAAGCTTTGGCAATAAGAAACAATATTCCTCTTTTGGGTAATTCTGGGAAACAGTTCTAGAAACTGTCCTTCTATCCAGAACAAAGTCAACACTGATCCTTGAAGCACTTCCAAAGCCTACTTTCAGTTGACATCACTACAGTGGTGCCTCGCATAGCGAGGTTAATCCGTTCCGGATTAACCTTCGCTATAGCGAAACATCGCTAAACGGAATTAAAAAAGCCATAGAAACGCATTGAACTTTGTTCAATGCGTTCCTATGGCTTGAAAACTCACCGTTCCGCGATGTTTCTTCATAGCGCCGCCATTTTTTCGCCCTCGTTAAACGAGGGGAGGGCACGAAAAAGCAGAGCTGAACTGTATGACAAAGTAGGGGTACTGAAAGTAAGATTGAGAACTCAGCCTATGTGGTGGTGGTCATTTTTTTTTTCCTAAAAGCTTTGGCAATAAGAAACAATATTCCTCTTTTGGGTAATTCTGGGAAACAGTTCTAGAAACTGTCCTTCTATCCAGAACAAAGTCAACACTGATCCTTGAAGCACTTCCAAAACCTACTTTCAGTTGGGATCACTATATAGCTCAATCTAATTGGCTATGTAGGTAGACATCATACTGAATGTTTTGATGTCAATTGACTGGGATGAATGATGACTCAGGAAACAGTGATACAGAAACAAATGGAAGCACACTGATGTCTCAAGATGATTCTCACATTAAGATTTGGAGAAACTCCACACTCCAAAACATGGAAACCATTCACTATAGTTTTAATAAAATACACATTTCAAAATGACTTAGGAAACAACTACATTAAATAGTAAAAACAGCTATGATATCATAAAGACTACAAAATATATTGCAACATTGACTTGATGGACTAAAACACATTCGCTTTGGACTCGTCAGTAGTGTCTAGCCCATGAAAATTCACGCCACAATAAAACTGGCAGTCTTCAGTATGTATATTTATTAGTTTTGCTAAACAGTAACATACTGTCCAAGCATTACATGGTGCGCTTCACCACCTCTGCCTTTAACTTATACATGAAAGTAAAACATGAACTGGTACAGCCATTTCTTGATGGAGATTCACAACTAATAAAAGATCCACTATTTTTTCCCTTTTATTAAGACATAAGTGCTTTTCTCTTAAAAGTATCGCAACTAAAGTACTTCCTGATTAAAAAGCTTGAAAGCAAATCCCCACCAACCTTGAGGGTACATGTGTGCACAACAAAATTGTGTTGTAGCAAATTTCTTGTGGTGCACCGCTACATAGCTGTAGCGGCAGGTATGCTTATTGTAACTGTGTATGTGAAGTAGAGTCAGTGATTTCTAAACACAACTGTCACTCTGGCCAACAGACTGGATAGCAATTTCCATGCAGCAACAGTTCCATAAGAGGAGGCCTTACCCTTCAAGCAAGCAGAATTTAGAACAGCAGAGCTTCATGCAATGGAGGTGGGGCATTAGAGAGAAAAGGGAGGGGCAGCAGAAACAAATGTATGGAGCCACGAAGAAAGGGGAGAGATAAGCCACTGCAAGCAAGCAATTCCACCCTTTAGGAAGAGCTATCTGGTCCCAGATGGGGAGAAGGAGAAGGGGGAAGAGAGAAGACAGGAAGGTATACAGCCTGCAGAAATCTAAAAACTCACCTTTTTGGACTACCAGAATCCTACAGCCCACATTGGAGGATTCTGGGAATAATAATCTAAGAAATAACTTTTTCTAAGATCTAGTACCATCTCCAAACAGTTCACCCATGGCAGTGAAAATATTCCTTACTCTGAGCACAGAACCAAAACTATATTTCATCCCTTTATTGAACTTTAAGCCAGTAAGGTAGTGCAACTACAAAACTCAGTTGGAGGCTCAAGCTTACCAAAGACATATTCTTTTCTTCAAATAGTGTGTAAGTTATACGTTCTGATTCTGTCAGAGCACTACATCCATCACCTTTCTGAAGAAATATGGATGGTTGGTCTCTGGATCCTGAGTTCTTGAGGACATCTGTCTATATAAAGCAAGGTTTTATTTTGTGAAAATCCAAACATCTAAGGAACAACGTTTAAGCAAATAAGTAAATCACCTTGATGATTAAACAGCACTTATAAACTATCCAAATTGCTATATTCTTCCAAATTAGACAATGCTTTACAGAAAAGCAACAACAGAGGTCACAATCCAAAGAACTGTATTAAATTATCTAACATGTTGCATTCTGCATTTAAGGAATTCACATATGTATTTTCCATTTTTTACAGTCCAAGTATCTTAGTGCCTCTTTTGAAAGTATGTGCGGACTATCTAGGCCAAATATGATAGCGTAACATTGATGAAATTTAGCCTATATCCTATACTTGCCCAACACAAAATATGAAAAGAAAAATGCATTGCTACGAAAACTGCGGAATGCAGCAATTACAACCAATACCACCAATACCCTCCATGACAACCTCATGTGAGTTAGCCATGATAGACAGCAATCTTCCTCATAACATCTCTTTCCTCTGCAGGCAAGGCACTAGCCCCCTACGACCATACAAGACCTTCCTTTCTGTCCTTCTCCCCTCTGTGTTCTGAGGACATGCTGCTTGCAGGAAGGATCATTTTCTGACACAATGCTAGAAGAGACACTAAGTGAATTTAACAAGAGGACACCACAGATGTCTGAGTTATAGTCTCCTTTTCAGGGGTTTATATACCATGGTTAGTATAGGTTAACTGATGAATCAATACCCTGTGTCATAGCAGAAATGAACAGCAGGAAGGGAAATGGCAGCAGAGGCAGCCTTCCATCCAGTTCAGATAATGACTTTAAAGCTAAACTGCCTTTGTAATTATCACAGATTTGGTGGGATGAGCACCTGGGTAGTATTGAGATATTGCATTTGTCCATCACTCCTCCATCTCATTGGGCTAGTATAGCTCCTCTGCTGGCACTGCTAATATGCCAATGTTGCAAAAAAATATCTTTCATCATACCACGACTGGCAGAAGCTGTATCTGTAGCTACCAACTGAGTTTTCATTTTTTTTCCACTTTTCGCTAAAAACCCAAAGTTTAGGGGGGAAACCCCAGAGGAATATATTCTGGGAGAAGCAGGCATGTTTCCGAAATTTTCACAACACAGCTTTCTCTTAAAACCTTGCCACTGAGAGGCACTTTTCAGTTGCTATAGAGAACACCTTTGTTTGAGGCCCGCCATTAACAGGGCCTCTGTAGAAAGCAAGGTACGATTTTTATATCGGTATTCAGGAATGTCACCACTGGCTAGAATGGGCAAGGGAAAGGTCTTGCACTCTCTATTCAGAAAACCATTGTCATCAATTTCTGAAAGCTACATTAAGGGAGGAAAGGGAAAAGAGCATTTAATTCATCTCACCTGTAAATCATTTACTTGACAAAACTCCTTGATTGTAATGAGAAGAGGAGCCAACATAGTAGATTTTGCTTCAGAAACACCTTCAACTTTCTTAATCATTTCCACAGTTGTAGGCCTGAAGAAAATATTGAAGACATTCAACCTGATTTAATCACTTTGGTCCTGATACATCTGTATGCAGATAGTAACTCTGATTTTAACAGGTAAACTTCACAAAACTAACATCTAGAGATGGGGCAATCATACAGTATATCCCCACGCAGCTGGAGTTAATGGGGTCCGGCCCCTGGGGCCAGACCGTCCGGCTCATGTTTCCGATGGTGGCCACCTCACCCTTCCAATCACTCCCGGAGAGCCGCTCTCTTCCCACTCAGCTGGCCACTCCAGGCAAGGGGTGGGAGGATGAGTCTCCATGCACATATGTCAAGTGGCCAGCCAAGCAGGAAGAGAGCAGCACTCCGGGAGTGATTGGAAGGATGAGCGAGGCTGCTGCCGCCTTCAGAGGCGTGAGTGGATGGTCCGGCCCTAGGGGCCGGGTCCTTGTTACCTCCAGCTGCACGGGGATATTCGTATTTGTATACGAATAACCGCATCTCTACTAATGTCATCTGTGTTAATAATGAAATAACCTCAGAACTCCCTCTCAAAAGAACAAGTGTAAAATGCAATAGAAAAGATGTGTAAACTGTATTTAATTTGTCCACGTTTAAGGCAGATAACTATTCTGCTGCAATAATCACAACCCAGTGGGATTGGAAAGTATTGCGTCAAAGACTTTCTGTAGACTTAAAATAGGCAAGTCTACAGAAAGTGTTTAAAATAGGGTGTTTAAAATAGGTAGTGTTTGTTTTGTTTTTCTGTGAAAGCTGAAAACAGGATGGTAACGCAATCAGTGTTTCTTGGAGTACACACACATTTATTCTCAAATGACAATTATCTCTTATCAAATAAGATTTTCCGGAGTTTTATTGTACTTCAGCTTAGATGACAATGTAGCATACACTTAGTAGGAAATGAGTATTCCATCACAGTACCTTTCCTTCTGGAAAAAAAGTTCCTGTTCTAAATCCCATTTTCCTGGCCTAAATTCACATCTTAAAATAAAGATTTGTTTACATATTCAGACAGAAAGACTCACCTTATTGTGGTCATACCAAGCAACACTTTATTTGTTGCTAATACAGCAGGAGGAATGTCCTTCTCACTGGCTAGTTTCTGCCTGGCTGCCACTAATTTACCATACAGCATTGTCTGTAAAAGACAAAAGCCAATCTTCAGATATTTCATGTCAAATGCATTTAAAGAATACTGGAAACTAATGTTTAGTTGATCAGCTGTCTTTTTTTAATTTAAAAGACGCAAAAGAGTTTTCTGTCTACATATGCTATCTACATTCGTATGTAGGCAGCATCTCAGAAGCACCATGCCTTCTCTTTCAACTAAAAGAACATGTCTCTTAAGATGGCACCTAAGATAGCACATATGCACCACCTGAAAATGAAGACTCTGTGCCTTGTTCTTTTGAACTACTGACATTGACTATCCAGATTTCATTATTAGAACTTTATTAACTATGATTACTATAATTGGGTGACAACATCAGTAGCCACCTAAAATCAAATACCAGAACACTTCACTTGGAATACTAACCTGTAATTCCTTCTCTCTCTGAGATATAATAGAAGATACAGGGCTTGCGGGCACAAGAAGCTGTGGTACCTGCACTGTGGAGCTAGTGAAAGACAGAAAGAAAAATAAAAATGTTCTAACTTCTGTAACAGTGATGGCGAACCTATGGTACACATTACAAGAAGCTGTGGTACCTGCACTGTGGAGTTACTGAAAGATAGAAAGAAAAATAGAAATGTTCTAACTTCTATGGCCACATTCCGGCCACAAGCGCCGGCAGTGTAACTTGAAACTTTGGAATTTCTTTTAAAATAAAAAATTGCACTGGGCCGCATTACGAGCTACCTGGGCCGCATGTGGCCCTCGGGCCGCAGGTTGGACAAGCCTGAACTAAATGAACATGTCTCTTAAGATGGCACCTAAGACAGCACATATGCATCACCTGAAAATGAAGACTCTGTGCCTTTTACTTTTGAACTACTGATATTGACTGTGCACATTTCATTATTAAAACTTTATTAACTATGATTACTATAATTGGGTGACAACATCAGTAGCCACCTAAAATCAAATACCAGAACACTTCACTTGGAATACTAACCTGTAATTCCTTCTCTCTCTGAGATATAATAGAAGATGCAGGGCTTGCAGGCACAAGAAGCTGTGGTACCTGCACTGTGGAGTTACTGAAAGATAGAAAGAAAAATAGAAATGTTCTAACTTCTATACCAGGGATGGCGAACCTATGGCACACGTGCCACAACTGACACACAGAGCCCTCTCTGTGGGCACACGAGCCATCAGGCTAGTGGCTAACCTAGTCTCGTGACAGCAGCGACCCCACCTCAGGTTCTCCCCCACCGCTGGGCCCTCCGCATCCCACGGTATGTGTGAATTGCCTGAGTCCCCACCTTTCCCTTTCAGCCATGCCCCTATTTCTCTTGGCTTATTTCTGGCTGTGGCTGCTCCCTTCCCTCCGAGGACTCGGGAAAGTGAAGAAAAAGCAGCCGCCGTTTTGTTTGTGTGTAAGCGACTAAGGGGAGGGAGCCTCTGAGAGGGACCGAGCTGGACGGGCAGAGCCTGGGAGGGGGAAAGGAGCAACAGGGATTACTAGCAACTTCTAGCCACGCTCTTATTTGGGGAGCCGTTTCTTCACTCTATGCCCCCCCTTCCCGTGTTTCTCCACAGCGGACATGAGACGGAGCCACTCTAGAAGAGCTTGAGGCATCACATCTCCAGTCCTGAGTTCTAACCTCTCAAGAGACCAAGTGCTCATAACCATCCTTCTCCTTGGGGAGGGGGAAAGAGGCAGAGAGAAACGGGGAGGGGTTGCCAGTGCTTCCTCCTCCTCTGGGATTGATCCCTCCATCTGACCAGAAAGGGGGGGACCTTACTACAGAGAAAGAAAAGGAGAGGTGGGAGTGACAAGCCGCGAGTTCTGAAGCCCACCCTCTTCAACCCCAGGTTGCCTCCGACTTATAGTGACCCTATGAATACAAGCGATCTCTAAAATGACCTGTCCTTAACTGTCCTGCTCAGCTCCTGTACACTCAAGCCTGTGGCTTTCATTAGGGAGTCTGCCCATCTTGTGTTTGAGCTTTCTCTTCTCCTGTAGCCTTGCACCTTTCCCAGTATTAATATCTTTTCCAGAGAATACTGTCTTTTCAAGATGTGCCCAAGTAGGACAACCTCAGTTTCATCATTTTTGCCTCAGAGATAGTGATAGTGCCTCATGTATTCAGGTTTTATGGCAGTGTTGGCACTCTGAAATAAATAAGTTGGTTTTGTGTTGTAGTTTGGGCACTCGGGCTCAAAAAGATTGGCCATCACTGTTCTATATAATCAAAGCATCCAGTAATTGAAAGAAAAGCCAAGGCACATTCTACATGGCGAAGCTGTGTATTCTTGGATGTTTTACTAGTTTTACCCAGAGACCTTTGGGTAGAGTGGGCGGCATATAAGTTAAATAAACAAAGTGAGAGAACTAAAATACTAGAATCCTGCCATACTGCGTGTGTGAGATCCATGGGACATTAGGGTATGATGCAACTGCCACTGGTAGCACAAGCAGACAGAGACTGTTGCAAAGCTGGACAAAAGCAGTAAAGCCTGTCGGAAATGGCTGCACATAAATTCAGGTCAGCACTCCAGCTTGTTTCTTACACATTGCACATTTGCCCACTTTTTCATTCAGAAGCCTAGAAGCAAAAGTTGCATGAAGGCACAATGTTTTAATGAGAGCCAAAGCTTTCTTTTTTTAGGCCTATTCTAAACATCTCTTATGTAATTACAGTGGCACAACACTAATTATGTAAGTTTTGGAGGTAAATTACCTCCTAAATGCAAGAAATAACTATAGACATTGTCTGTGTTGTGTTGCAGTACTTCGAATGCAACAGATGACATCTATGGTGATTTCTTAACATGAAGCAGTTCCTTTCCAAAAGTTACACTATTAGATGTTATGGCAGCATAACTATGCAAGAAGGTTTTGGCCAATATCATCCAAAGTTTTAGCTGCTTAATCAACAATAACAAATTTTAAGCAGAGCTCATGTTGATGACAGGTCTTTTGGCTGCCACTGTGCTACTGTGATCTGATAAAAATGTTAACAATGGCTTTTCTTTCTAACATACGGTGGCTTTTGTTTATTCACTTTGGCATTAACTTTCAACAGTCTTTTAGGATGTGATTCTCTACATACTTCCCTGGAGGTAAGTCACAAGGAACTCAATCGGACTAATTCATCAGCTATCAAAAAGATAGCTGAACAACTAAAAACTCTTAAACTGGTTGATAGCATTTAGGAAATTCAAACTACTCAAGACAGGTAAAGAATCCCATTTGGTACGACTACCACAACCAATATTCCCCAGTGAGATCATAAGACTGGATGGAGAAAGAAAGGGAGATAAACCATCATAGAAAAGAGAGAAATTAAGATAATTTATAGGAATAACCACCTGTCATTTGAGGATGTACTGGCTCTGGAGATATTACTGGATCGTTGATAAGAAAACATTTCATGCAAAGAAGTCCTCTTCAGAAATACAAAATTGTAAAATATGTTTAATACACAACATTTACTTTAAGTAGCAGTTTATTTAAATTACATGAGTAACTGAATCTCCCCAAAATGAAACTTTATGTTTTCAGTTTTAAAAAACCTGTAGTAGGACACTGAATACTAAGGTTTCACATTCAAGTGGAAGTTTTTCTTGAAGCTTCAAATAATGCAGACATAATGCAGGAGCCAGCCTCAAGAACATACAATCCATTCTTACAATTCATTTCAGGAACAATTGTCTTCCTCCAGAATAATTGGCACTGCCTATTGAACTTAATCAGGGCTTCCGTTTACATGGATCCGAAATCAATTTCAAACTACAGAGTCAAATTCTGGCTAGATGGGAATTTTGGTTACTTTTGACTATGTATACTACTGTCACCCCCCAAACAGCTTAACTATGATTTAGGTAGGAGGGAAACATTTGCTCCAGTTGAGAACAGAGGTATACTGTAATTGCTTCTGACGTCTTAGCTGTGGTTAAAAGGAAATGCCAAAATCACATCAGAATCAGACACGTAAAGTATTCAGTATCTGAAATTCACAGACCATCAGGTTCTTAGTTCCACGCCCTCAAAGGCAGAGCTTATAGTAAAGCTTCTGCAAGTTTCCACCCTGTATGACGACAGGCAAAGAACGTCTGGAAACCATCTGTTTCCCATCCCAACCCCCAATAACCTTTACAGACTCTAGTAATTTGGATTATGCACCTTGAGTGCAACACAAGCAGAAACCATACAAACATTGCATGAAATCGACACACAACTCCAACATGTCCAGCCAACCCAAAGGAAGGACAAAGGTGCCCTGGGTGTTAGGAAGGACAGACAGGTGTAAAAACTGGAACTGCAGCCTTAATCCTTTTACTCTATCGAATATCGTCTGCATTTAATACACCTAAACAAAACTTTATTAGTCTTTGACTAATAAAGAAAATGTACTGTCAGAAATAAAGATACCCTATTTTAGTAACACAGACCTCTTTTTCCGGCATTGACTTAGGAACCATCACATTTGAGAATTTCACTGTGTTTGATGAAGGAGTTTGTTTCTGGCTGAGGAAAAAGAAGGAAAAAGAGCTCAGTTTTACCAGAGGCAAAGACCAAAGACAAACAAAACAGCTACACCTTCAAACATTAGTATTTCTGCAGAACACACAAGTTCAGGTGTCTCCATTTTCAAAGTATGACCCTTACAGGCACCTTTCCTCAAAAAGTGCTGCGGGCAATAAATACCCTTTAGTACCTCGCCATTTTGCCCACTTAACAACCATGCTCGCAAATCCTCCCCACCACCGTTGAGCTTTATGATGATTAATAGTTTCATTCTAGGGGCAAGATGGAATACCATCGCCCTGGCATGCAAACCTGGTTCTAAAATCAAGAACTGGCATACAGCCTGCCTATTCTATCATGCAAAACAAAAATAATGGTCAATTGTGAAAATTTAACATTTAGCATCAAAAGACTAGGGTTGCATGTGTCACACAAGACAAAATCAAGGCATGTCTTAGCTGTAGACACTCCCATTCTCAGAGTAGTGATGGGGGGGAGCAATAGAGGATGAACTGCTTCATGGATGTAAAATTTAACAGACCCTTGGAGGATGATTGCAGAACCAAAGGGTTCCATGGAGCCCTGATTAGAATTTCAGTCTCAGCTGAAGAAACAAGTTGAGTTCCTTATTAGCCTTAAGAACAGTTTGACATACAAGCCTGATTTAAGCCAATGGGAGCACTCTTGCACACCTCCAATCTACTTCAGTGAGATGTTTGCAAGGGAAAGTATTGGCGTCCGGAGATGCATTTTAAGTAAATGGGAGGAGGGGGTCCTAGGGATATTCTGCCTTGAAAGCATACCAAGTTGGTCTGGAATACTATTCCTGCTTTTTTTTTTAATGCCAATGGCAGCTCTTATTTTCCATCTGGATAGGCAAAACTCCCCAAGAAAATGTGCAAGTAAGTCTGATCTAATATTTTGCAATCTCAAGGTGCTTACAAAAAATTACAATAAAGGCATTATAATCTCAAGGCTCAGACACTTATAATTACCTTGTTACAGGTTTCTTTAAACACAGTTCCTCATCAGACTGAAGCAGAAGCCTTCGTCCAGACTCTTCTTTGGCTTTACAGAGCCAGTCTTTACCCTGAGAGATCCAAAACAAATTACTTAATAAAATGTTTCCAAAATCATCATTAGACAAAACTTACTGTTTGCCTGTAGCTTACCTTTGCAGTAAGCATGCATGCGGTTGCAAATTTGTTTTGGCCAGAGACCTCTTTAAGGAAGCCTTCTAAGATCAGGCGTCGACCCAGCGCCTTCCAAGAGGTCTCCGGCCAGTCCTTCCCACTGCCAAAGAGCGTGTGGCTTCTGTATTTGTCTGGGACCCGTTGCGACGTCTGAAATTTGAATGAGAAATGCCAGATAGGTAATGAAAGAATAATTCAAGAAGTCAGAAAAACTGTTTTCAAGTATTCCCCATTCCTGCACAACACCACAGCTTGATTTATACAGGCTGAAATCCAGTGTTACACCAGTAAAAGCCCACTAGGACTTCCTTCTCCTCCCCTTTCATGTTAAGCCTGTATTTTGCAATGCCCATAAACTTGCTGCAGGGATTTCACAGCCCTGCAGTACAAGATTCAATTTTTTAAAGAGCTGTATAGTGCAGAAGCCCAGTTCTGCAGTGAGAAAGCCCAGCAGAACAACACTGATTCTCACCCATAACTTTCAAATTATAGCTAGCCAGGAGGTGTGCATGTTTGCGATGTCAGGCCAGATATTTCCAAAGTGACTGTGGTACATGCCAACTTATTTATTTATTGTGTACCTATTACAGTCTGTCATTCTTTTTGTGCACTGCATTGTATTGTCCAGCTAGAAAGCAACCACATTTTTAAAAGGGGGAAAAAAAACAGAAAGAGAGTCTTCCACCTTCTGCCAGGCCATCAGTCATATAGCTGTCTCATCTCCATCAGGAAAGGCCCATGTTCTTGAGATGAAGACGGCTATTTCTAATATGACTGCTTTGTGCTCACTGAAGACAGTCTTGGAAGGGGTAACACACAGTAATACCTAAACAGCTTGCCTAAGCTTGCAAGTGTATTTCCATTTACATGCACCAAATTCCTGTTGAAAAACGGTGGATTGTCAACAGGGCTCTACATATGAACTAGGCAACTAAACCATCACTGTCTCTCTCCCTTTCTTTCTTTTGTAATGATATATAGGTAAAATTCAAGAGAGATTTAAATGTTAAAATAATTAGACCCTTTTTGACCAGACGCAGGCTACTTATCACAGCCATTTACTATATCTTCTTTTGTATATGTGGAGGGGTATAAATTGCATGCACATAACTACCGTATTGATTGAATTTCTCCACATTCACAGAAAATTTGTCCTGTATCCAAGTATCCCCATTTTACTCTATTATTCTTTGATCTTCTTACTTTGCCTCAAAGTCTATGAAGCGACTTCCAAATGACCCAGCTAGCGTGTCCTCCTGGTGGGAGACCCTCTTTGACATTCAACAATTCAGCAAGATGCATTGTTTTTGTTCTTTGTAGGTTTCGCCTCACCTCTTCTGATTTCATATTTAGAGTCCAGAAGCTTTGCACCTTACCTTCCATTATAACATTTACAAAGGGAAGTGAAAATGTGAGACATTCAAATGCCAGTGTAAATGCAACACTGCCACAGGCAGTGGCACACTCTTCTTCTGAAATATGGCCCACCTTCTACTTAATAGTTATTTTTTACAGGGGCATTGTTGTTTCATTGTAACATAACCAAAATCTGAAAATGTGGTTTCAAAAACTGTACAGATGGTAAGACAGATCTTTGGGACATCAGGAAAAAAAAGGCCATCATGTTGTTCCATAGTTCCTATGAGTTGTATTGAACAAGGGTCCCTCAATGTTCCCTTTCTCCAAAAGCATCAGTGCCTCCTCCTACTTGGAGTTCAGAGTTTCCTGCCTTCCAGAATGGAGAAAGGGTGGCCCTGTTGCAAGGGAGAAGCCAAAAGCATCAGTGCCTCCTCCTACTTGGGGTTTAGAGTTTCCTGCCTTCCAGAATGGGGAAAGGGTGGCTCTGTTGCAAGGGATAAGAGAGGACTCCTTAAAAAGCCCCCCCCCGGCTCTGCTGCCAGAAACCTCTGCTGGATCAAAAAGCATTCAGCCGATAGAAGATACCAGTTGAATACAACTCAATGTACACAAATAAGCCTTCCCCCCCCTCGCTGCCAAAAAACCCTGACTTTGCTTGTCTTTTAATCCCAGTTGTGCCCTACTGTATTATTTTATAGCTCTTAGTTTTACCACATTAAAAATCACTTGTATAAAATCCACTTAGAGGATGTCTTACACTGCAAGAAAGAATATCAGTCCCATACATAACACACCTACATAATACTTGAGATTAACATGTAAACAAAGATTGACAATTGAAGCCTGTCAAGTGTCAAACAGAAAGCACCTCTAAACTTTTGTATCCTTCTTTGTCTTTGTCTTAACAGAGGTAGGTATAAGATTTCAGTCAAGGCAACTTTCTAATTTGAAGATTCCCAGGAGCACTTGTTCACCCCCCGAATAGTGACTCAGATTTCAAATAACAGGTGAAATCTGATCTCTCCTGCGGCCCATTTGAAACCTGTCTAGGTGCACACCTGTGCTTATTTGTTACAAGAAGTGCCTGCCAGGCTGAGCAAAACTAAGGATAACACAATTCTCAAAAACTATGGGCAACTTTTGTCTAAAGATAGACAATGCACATTTAGAAAATCTGAGAAGGCAAAACTATTTCCAGCTTTATTACATGATGGCCAGTCTCTTAAACACTTTTTACATAACAAAATAATGAAACTATATGGCTGCTAAATTAAGCTGTATTGCTTGAATCAGAATTAATTTTAATATTTTTACATTAAGGTCTGTGAATTATGAATAAGGGAACAATGGATCCCATCACAACAATTTTAATAGAAGTATTACTTTAAATGCACGTAACAAGAGGACCAAGTTGAGGTACTCTAGCTTCTACAACATTTAATTTTCTTCAGTTCATGGAATGCTATATAACTTCTAAATGGTAATGTCTGTATTGGAAAACTCACTATTCAAGTTAGGTAAACAAAAGGGAGAAACTCAAGAACACTTATTGAATATTCACCCATTTCTTTCTTACTTATTTTCACCCTGCTTTTCTCCTTAGGAGTTTGCATCATTAAAAGACAATATTTAAAGCTAAAAACATAAGTATACAAGTACTAAAAAGGGACAAGCAAATACTCCTTTCTACAGTGGAATGTATTTGTATTGGCCATTTTTAATTCCAGTTTTATAAAGTAATCCTTCAACAACCTGGTTTAAATGAAATCTGAGTGCAATAAGTGATATACTGACATCTACATGTCGTTTTCCAAAAGAGAAATGCTTCTTGTAAGGCTGGCCCAGTGGCTGATACATGTTGCTAGAGGAACCCCCTGCAGCTAGTAGGGCCTTCAGGTTGGTGGGGATGAAAAGGGAGCTCTTTCAGAGCGTACAGCGACCCTTCCCCTCATTACCCCAACAGAAGTCAGAACAAGGGTGCTTCAGGACCACGTGCTGGAAATTCCTTCCCTTTCCCTCCCTTTCTTTGAAGCTCTTGGAGCTGCCTGAAAACCAGCCCCCAAGGACTTTCCAGGGGTGCAGTAAGTGTGAAAGAAGATTCCCATTCTAGTGGATTCCATTGTTCCACCAGCATACATCCGAACTGGATCCCTTCCAAAGCCAACTGAAGAGCTAGTGTATTTAATACCCTGCCGCTGATGGCAGTGAAACAAGGAGGAGTCATCTTCTTATTTGCTCAGTGAAAGCTGGTCAGGTTTAGAAAATGGCAGTAGATCGGTGGTGGATCCACCTTGTCCGTAGAAAGGAATCTACGGACCCTGAATGTAACACATCAATTGAAAGCCTACTTTTCTGCATAAAAGGAAACACAGGAGACCAAAAACGTTGATTTTGCAGACGTTATAAATATAACACAATAGGTCATGAACTGTCAACCAAAAGAGCATAAATATTAGTTTCCACATCGTGGAGAAACTCTGCTATATATAATTAACAACCAGTCCTTTCTTCTGAAAAGTGTTGAGAACTCAGCCTTCATGAACACAGAGACACTTTAAACTTACAATGACTCAGCTATGGGAATTAAATTCTGGGGTGCAATGGCTTAGTACTGCAAACAACATTGCAGATTTCATTTAAATCTATTTTTAACTACTTGAATTATTGATTTTCTTAAAATCTGTCCACTCTACCAGTCATTGTGAATTACGAGGAATGTTCAAGCCACTTTCAGACATGAAATCCCAGTGTTGCACAGCCTGTGCATCAAGCTTTCTCTTCCTTGCAAGTGATATAAAGTGCAATGGGAACCAGACAGCACTGGAACATCTGCCTCATCCCCACTTCACTGCAACTGATTCATCCCATAATAGCAACACTTACAGAGCCTCTGAGAAAGAGCACTGGAACACCAATGCCAAATCTCTCATTTAAGGCACATACTGCTGACATCAGTTTATGTACTTGCTGGCCAAAATCCTCAAAAGTGTCTTCTTTATCAGCCATAGGAGTACAATGACTGCTCCTTGAAAGTAAAAAGCAGAAAAATAAAAAATATATAAGATGCGGACAATACATGAAATGTGCTTGAATATGCATATATTATTCATTTATCGCTGTAAGCTGGGTCCATCTTCTAACACATAAATATTGCTCATAACTTTCTTAAAGAGATATAAACTTTTTTTTTACTCATTTTCGCTACTTTATTCTTTAGAGAAGTATTTTAAAAGTAGCTTCATTTTCCACAGAGGTTTAAGAAGAACCATTACATTTTACTTCCTAAGCTATAAAGGAGACTCAAAGAGGGTGCTAAATTGATCCCTGGAAAAACCTCTTTTTTGCCTTGTCTTAAAAGGCTGGTTGAGAGACTGCCCACAGATGAATTTATGGTGGCAGTCCCTTTAAGATGAGGTAAAGAAAATATTTTTTGAATTTTTTTTTATGTGAAAAGTGAAGCTGCCCTAATAGAGTCTTATTCCCCCCCCCACACACACACTTCTTCTGCCCCTCCGGCCAAGGAGCAGAGGAAATGTTTAATTTGCCAATATCCTGAAACAGCTCTCTTATTAAGATACTTCACGATATAGGAAATTTCCACTAGAAGCAGCTGGACCAAATAGAGTGACTTGGGTTCCAATATACCATTTGAATTCAAGGATCACATCAAAATGCATATCGCCAATTTTTGTCCAGTCGTGTTTCGACTCTAGGGGGGGGGTGCTCATCCCCATTTCGAAGCCATAGAGCCAGTGTTTTGTCCGAAGACAATCTTCCGTGGTCACATGGCCAGTGCGACTTAGACACGGAACGCTGTTACCTTCCCACCGAGGGGGTCCCTATTTATCTACTTGCATTTGCATGCTTTTGAACCGCTAGGCTGGCGGGAGCTAGGACAAGCGACCGGAGCTCACTCTGTTGCATGGATTCGATCTTATGACTGCTGGTCTTCTGACCCTGCAGCACAGCGCCACCACGTCCCATTCCCATTTGAATTCAAGGATCACATCAAATTGCATATTGCACCTCTACCCAGCTCCAAGAGACTATATTTAGCCCACACCAGCTTGACAAGCCCTATTTCTACACAATTTACTACAAATATATTCTGCTGTCAACAGATTTTAATTTCCTTCTAAAGGCATTTAATCCAGTATACACCATCATACCTTCAGGCAGTAAGTTTCATAGAGTTGTATATAAAGCCTCATTTTTACTGTCTTGGGTGTCCTGCAATTAACTGCATTGAATAAGGCCAGGATACTAGCATGATATGGAAGTGTGAGAAAATGTCTCTCTAGCCACTGTCACTGCTCAGAACAAAATTTCATAAACCTTTAGTTCAGGGATGGGCAAAAGCGGTCCTTTGGGTATCTGTTGCTGGACTACAACTCCCATAAATCTTAGCCAGCAGAGCCAGTGGTGAAGGATTATCAGACNTTCATATCATAAACCTTTCGTTCAGGGATGGGCAAGAGCGGTCCTTTGGGTATCTGTTGCTGGACTACAACTCCCATAAATCTTAGCCAGCAGAGCCAGTGGTGAAGGATTATCAGACTTGCAGTCCAACAGTATCTAGAAGGCCACAAATTGCCCAGCCTATCCCCATGCTTGCTTTCCCCCCTCATTTTTTTAAACCAATCTTTTTCACATGGAAAGTGTCCTAAGAAGTGGGTTACACCAGGAGTGGGCAAAGTGTAGCCCTCCAAATAACACCGGACTGCAATTCCGAATAGCTCTAGCCAGCAAAGTCAATGAGGAGAAATAACTGGGAGCTGCAGTCCAACATCCAGAGAGCCACACTGCACAACGCTGAACTGGATTATAGAAACATGGGTGAAGAGTAGTGGTTCCCAACCTTGGACCCCCAGATGTTCTTGGACTGCAAATCCCAGAAATCCTGGCCAGCACAGCTAGAGGTGAAGACTTCTGGGAGTTTTAGTCCACAGACATCTGGGGACTTAAGGTTGGGAATCACTGGTCTAGATTCCTGCTTAGCCATGAAGGTCACTGAGCAACTCTGAGTGAGACACTGTTAATCCAACATTTCACAATGTTGTTGCAAAAATGAAGCATATTAACTCCATGTGTGGTACCTTAAGACTTGTTTTCGATACAAAAATAAAGTCAATAATGAAAACTAAACTGCATTCTCTGTAAAAAAAAAGTTTGATAGTAAACTACCGAATGGAATACTATACAATGACAGACATTTCATCTTAAAAGTAACAGCATTTCAAGAATACTTCATTAGCAGAAAGCCATTAGGGACTTGTAGGCCTTCATATAACTGTGGAAAGAGTGTTCCAAACCTTTTTATCTTCCGGGAGGAACATTTACCTGGATCTGCAATTATCGCAACATTTTGCTGTTCCCATGATGCCTGAGGAGGCCTTTCGGAGTTGTTTGTCTTCAAAATGAGACAAGATGATCCTACCCAAGGGAACATTGAGAATTAAATAAAAGAACAAGAATTTACATGTTAAATTCATTGAAGAAAACAATGAGCTGAAATCATCATCATTGATTTATTCACCTGGGAGCTAATTACCACAGAACTAATCATCCTGAGACAGGTGTATTTTTTTTTCAGAGCACAATATCCATGGCACAAACATAAAAATGCATTAGGCCCTAAGTGGCACTTTTCAAAACTTGGAATGATATTCATTTACATGTGTTGACAGCTCCTGTGGACTAGTGTTAAAACAACACTTACTTTCGCCTACAGGTGCTCATGTTGAGATATTTTTCAATCTTTTCCATCATCTTCAATTTGTACAGGCGAAATTTATCACTGCGTATCATACTAAGCAAGTGTCTTGAAAAAAGGAGAGAAGATCACTTTAGCTACTGGTTTGAAATACCCTGATGTATACATATATACTTTTTGCACAACGTACATTTACCATAGTTATAGATACAAATCAACGGTTACAGTAAGTAAATCAATACTAAGATACATTCAATGGAATTACAAAATGCTCCTCATGCATTGCCACTAATTCTGCCACAATTCAGTGTCTGAATTCCTTACTACCAGTCTGCCCTGGATCTGTGCCCTCTGGAGGTAGAATGCTGCATGGAGGAAAATCCTTGGATGGGTGTCTTAGTTGAGGTGGCAGTGGCGGAAGGGTGCAGCCATGGAGGACGGGCCACCACCTTCCGCCTCCCCAGCTTCACTTCTACAGCCCGTCACCCCTTGGTGACCTTGGTGACCAACAGTTCCTGCAGCCCCCTACCCCAATGCAATGGTGGTACTAGAGGTGCAAACATGATAAAGAAAGACAGCAGCACCTCTGGGGAGTGGGGAGAAGCGACAGCACTTATCCTCCAGCCAGCTGTGTGAGCCATCCCTGAAAGGAGCCAGATGGCTTGGGACAGAGTTAAAGTCCCAGCGCCCAACTGAAAGCAATGGTTCACTGATGCCAGCCGTGGAACTTGGGTGTCAAGCAGAAGAGACTTTGCCCTGTGGGCGAACGCCAGGAACCCAGCCCGTCCCCCCCATAGAGGACTCAAAGGCCATGCAGAGTGAGCCAGTTCCATTGTATTTGTATCCCTCACTGTGATCCCAATAAACCCACATTCTAACTGCAACAAGAGTTTATGGAGATCATGTCTGAGGACACTCTGCCTGCCGTCCCCACATTAGGCAGGGGCGGCAGCACTCAAGAGCCTTTCAAAGGTCTGAAATAGTCTACAGATCTTATCTCAATAATGCAGACCAGTACTATGGCTTACCTGTTAAAACTCATGTCAGCTGGGGTCCACAACACATGGCAAGAGGCAGGAAGTCCATCACGACCTGCCCTTCCAATTTCCTGGTAATATGATTCCATTTCCTTTGGAGCACCATAGTGAATAACTGTCCTGATATCTGCTTTATTGATGCCCATTCCGAAGGCTACAGTAGCTACTATGCACTAGAAAAACAACAAGCCATAATCAAGATCAATCTTCTGGATGCACACCTTAATGTATTATGTGGGGTTGAGTGTATCAGGGAAAGTGAGAACGATGCTGTCAGTAGGCAAGACACCATTATGAGGTAGAATAATCTCAGCTGTGACCAAGGCAGAATGGTCACAGCTGAGATGCAAGACTAAGATGCATCCAGGAATTAGCAGTTGGCATCAGTAGAAGGCAATCCACATTTATAATAGCGATGGAACAGAGAAATTCTTAAGGGGCGGCTAATGGGCAGCAACAGAAGTGGAACATGATGCTGGCAGAGGATCTTAATGGAAAACAGCACGACACTCAGACTAACTAGTTAATTCGGGTAGAAGAAAGTGATGGCAAACCATGTCTGAATCCTTTAACCCTCAGAAACTCTATGACGAGACAGTCCAAAATGAAACAGGAGATAATGAGGGGAGATTGGAAGGCAGTGAGGCACTTGACCTTCTCAGGTTGGAAGGAACTCAGAAAACCAAAGGATACATGCACATAGCACTGGTGCTGATGAAGCAACTGGTTAACCGCAACACTCAATATGAGATTTGTGAATCTACGCAAGCTTGAAGCCAGAAACAAGAAATAGAATATTTAAACATTGCAATATTTGGTTTAAGCAAACTAGCATGGCCTGGAATATGATATTCTCACTTAGATAATTATGACATGTTTCACTCTGAGAATAATTAACTCAGAAGAAACAGCACTGCTCTAATATAGTGAGGTTGAGATGTAGCACAAGCAGTTAGGACTAGAATATGAAATCTGACTAAATAATAATAAATAATAAATAAAATAATAAAATAATACCAATCTGACTTCATGAAAGGCAATATCATCATTATTCAAACTTAGGCTCCAAGCTATGGATATTAAAGAAAAACTGAAAGCTTTTATGCAAGTGCCCAAAGGAAATGGATAACATATAAAAATATGTTCTCATAATCATGGGAGACTGGAACACAGAAGTATTTTTATTTTTATTTATTTGATTTTTATACTGTCCATCTGGCTATCAAGGTCAGTCTGGGCGGTTTAGGAATACCATCATTATTAACAAAAATACAAGAATACTTGATAACTTAAAACAAAGTGCAAAAACAACAAAAATAAAATACATTAAAATAATAAAATTTTAAAGGCATGGTGAAGGGTTGAATGTATAGTTATTAAAGGCACCAATGTATCAAGATGTTCTAGAGTCCAGGAAGGCCTGCCTAAGTAGCCATGTTTTTAGTAATCTTTTGAAAATATGAAATAAAGCAGAACAAAAAACTGTTGGAGCATTTGACCTTGTAATCAGAACCAACCAGTACAGTCAAGCTCAGCTCAGCATCAGAACATCTGCCTGGATTTCCAAGTTCATGAAGTACAGTGGCGCCTTGCAAGACGATGTTAATTCATTCCACAAAAATCACTGTCTTGCGAAAACATCATCTTGTGAAATGCGGTTCCCCATTGGAATGCATTGAAATCTATTTAATGTGTTCCAATGGGGGGGGGGGGAAATCGTCGTCTTGCGAAAATCGTCCATAGAAAACATTGTCTTACGAAACGCGGTTCCCCACTGGAATAGCACTGAAATCTATTTAATGCGTTCCAATGGGGGGAAAAACCGTCTTGTGAAGCATCGGGGTTTTTAAAAAAAGTCTTGTGATACTGTACACGGTTCCCCATTGGAATGCATTGAAATCTATTTAATGCGTTCCAATGGGGGGGAAAACCCTCTTGCGAAGCATCGGTATTTTTTTTTTAAAAAACAGTCTTGCAAAGCATAGACCAAAACATCGTCTTGCGAAAATTGTCCATAGGAAACATTGTCTTGCGAAGTGCAACAGCAATCGCAAAAAAACATCGTCTTGCGGATTAATCGTCCCGCAAGGCAATCGTCTTGCGAGGCACCAATACAGAAAAAGTAAGTTGTGATTAAGTATCAGTAAAAAACAATAGAATAAGACTTGAGAGCAAGCCCGCGAGGCAATCGTCTTGCAAGGCACCAATACAGAAAAAGTTTGTGATTAAGTATCAGTAAACAATAGAATAAGATTTGGGAGCAAAATACAATGCAAGTAAAGGAGGAAATACATTTGGTGAGACCTACTCTCGAAGAAGTATGTAAACTAAGAATCTGCATGTTCTGCAAGAACTCCCCAGGCAGAATTTGGAAAGTTTCAGTCTCATAAACACACCTACATTTCACTTACCTGGAGCAGAGCTTTTCTCTGAGGCTGCATGGCCTTTGCTGACTTAGTTGTTAATCTAAAAGAAGTGGAAAGCTGCTTGGTGCTCCATGGGAGATGTAGTTCTTCAGAAGGCATCTCCTAGAAAGCCTCATGGGCAGCAAGACTACAAATCCCAAGAGCACCATAGCAGCCTTCTTTTTTACACTAAGCAGATACAAAGACCAGAGAAGGCCAGGAAGCCTTACACAGAGGTTCTACTCCAGATGAGTGAAATGTAGGTGTTTGTAGACACATGCTCCTGGACTGAAACTCCCAGAATCAGGCCAATATCTTAGATAATTCTGAGAGTTGAAGTCCAAACAAAACAAAATGAAACAAAAAGATCATACCCCTAGTATACAGTATCAAAGCGTTTGTTCCAATCAACTTAAAATCTCATTGATTTCAATGGGGCTTAGTTACTGTTAAGGGTTGCTCGATTGTGGCTATGGAGTATAAGAAAACAAAATTACTTTCTAATAGTGAATAATATGCAAATAGTTTTTATCCACATGGCTGAACAATTACGCATAACATGTTATGAAAATCAAATTACATTTCCATCATACCTGAATTTCATCCCTCATGAATCTATGGTGGACATCTCGCCTCGCCTTGATTCCCATGCCAGCATGGTAGGTACTGCAAACAATGTTTAATTTTGCTAGTTCTGCGGCTACGTGCTCGGTGATCTTTCTTGATGGGCAATAAACAATAGTGGGGCCTTCAAATTCATAAGCAGATCTATGAATTAAAATAATAAGCTGAAAACAGCCATATGTGAAGTATCTTATTAGGATATATGATGAATAAACACTTATTGATTTAAATTATTTAGATGTGTTTTTCAGTGATCATAGAAAAATACTAACCTATAGAGGCAGACTAACACCATAACTGAGAAACACAAGGGTAGGTAACTTTTCCAGGTCCAGGTGCCTAATATAAACAACTTTCTATCTCAAAAAATGAGAAGCTATTCTTCCCCAATGTCCCTCACTCACGTTCATCATTCTAGGAGGCTCATGGAAACCCATGTTGCAGTGATGGCTGAAGCCATCATCCCCCTGACTCTGCCTGATGGGAGAAAAAAGCCACAGCATTTCAAGCAGTTGGGGATCTGAAGGTCAGAGATACTTTAGGAGGAGACAACACAACAGCAATGTGTTGTATGTTGATACAGACTAGATTGTCTTGTGGCTTAACAGGAGAAAAGAGCCACAAGGACATTGCACCAGTGCTCTGTTATTGGTACAGACGTCCTATTATCTTCTGCACAAGTTGCTTGGGATGGGGAATAGCCCTGTGTGAGAAACGTCTGCTTAAAGGTTGTACAGTAGCTGCATTCTGTTCCGGTGACGTGTGAACACTCCTGGCAGGATGCGGCAGCTGCCAGCAGGCGGGGTAGCCCCTTATTCTGCCCTTTCACTTAGAGGTAGAGCATAAGATCAAAGGGTTATTTTAGCCAATTCTAGTTACAACTAGGTAATTAGTATCCTATCTTTCTCTCATAACGTACTATGTAATCATGCTAAATCAATAAAAATAGTCCTCAGGGCGTTGCCAGTTGGCTCCGCTGGCTAGGACTTTCGCTGTTACCTCCTTTGTTCTCTCTCTAAGGCAATTACCCATTCCTTTCTTCCATGATCACCCACAGCCCTGTTAGTCTGTTACAGCAGAAATCAAAGAAGAGTCTTATGGTGCTCTAAAAACTAGCATGACTTAATACCGTAAGCGTTTGTCTCCTCCAGTACATATTTCAAAGAAGTCCTGGTCCTTAAGATGCTAAAACTCTCTTTGTTATTCTCTTCCAGACACAGATCAAGGCACTTGTATTTAACTAATACAGCTCCCAATAGAGTTTTTTAAACAGTTTATTGTCTTCTCTTGAATCTCCCACTGTAACTTCTGAAATGAACCAAGTGTGCCTTCCTAATGTTATCATTAACCACATTGCTGTTATTGTGTGCCACTTCTAATTTTCTATGCTGGTTCACTTCTGGTTTTCAATGCTGTTTGCTGGTGCTATGATGGGAGCAGGACACCTCTTATCCAGGTACGTCCCAGGTAAAGAATAGGCACCTGGACCTGGAAAAATTACCTATCCTTGGATATAAGGAGTTTTCCTCAAATCCAAGGGGGGCTTATACAGTCTGGGTCATTCCAGCAATTCCCAGCCCCCTCTACTGCCTTGTGCCCTGGTGAATCTAGTAATGATGAGTCAGAAACATTTTGGCAAAAATGAAAAAAAACAGGCATTACATAGCACACCTAACAGATCAGCCTCTGCAGTCTCAAAATAAGGGAACATGGAATTCCTAAACCAGGGCTGATCTCTCCTCACACACATTTCCTTCCACTCCAGAGTCTGCTGCTAAACCTGGTGATTAGTTTGCAATCTCCAAATTAGGTCTCCTGGTCAAGCTTTAACAGTGCAACAGGCTACCCCACTCTCAGATTTGAAGATGAAGTGGGATTAATTCTCAATAAATATCTGCTTAACGGCACAGTGGTTAAACTGCAGTACTACAGCCAAGACTCTGCTTACAACCTGAATTCACTCCCAGCAGATTCAGGTACTGTAGCTATCTCAAGGTTGACTCAGTCTTCCATCCCTCCAAGATTAGTAACCTGAGTACCCAGGTCTCCACGAGTGGAGATGTGTAGTCTGCATAAACATGCTGTAAATCACCTACAGAGTGCTTTAAAAGCTATGGAGTGATATATAAGCAACACACTATGCTTTTTAAAAGCTTTTGTTTCAATGGAAAGCCTTGGAATAAGAAGTTCTATGTAGAATAAGCCAAAATACTCACGTGTCTTTTTTAATAAGGAACTGTTGTAAATCGCGGATGATATTTCCAGTTTTTCGTCCAACTTCTAAGTATAAGTTAGGCCGGTCAAAACTGCTACATGTGATTTGAGGATTCTTTAGGTTTAGGCAGTCTACTATGTCCTTTCTTATGGAAGGGCTTGCTGTTGCAGTTAATGCAACAATAGGAACCTTTAAAAAACACAGAAATAAGAGAAATAGGAAGCAGGCAGAACAGGAAAAATATTAAAACATTAATTCTTTGAATATCATAATCCAGAGCTACAGAAATGACGTATGTCAGAGACACATGTCAAACAAAATGAATCCTTAAAATACCTTGAAATGGCAACTCATATTACCTGAGGAAGAGTTTTCTTTAACAACCCCAGAGACCTGAAAGAATTCCTGAAGTCATGTCCCCATTCAGAAATACAATGAGCTTCATCAACAGCTATCAGAGTGATACCTAAGGGGAAATAGAGCACACCAAGATAACACTGCCTTTGAACATGAGAGATTTCAGAGTGTAGATGGTAAAAAAAGCCACAGTCCAAATATCATGAGCAGGTCTCTCTGATCTGGAAGGGCAAATCCCTTCCCACAGAAATAGCTGCATCATCTTCTCTAAAATTATGTTGCTCAAGTGAGCAAGAAAAGTTTTTTTAAAAACAGCAAAAAAATGTTATGTTACCATGGTTCTGAATTTCAAATGTTGTGAAGATGTAGTGTTGACAGAAATCTAGAAAGACTGACAGATCTTTCTTTCCGCACTTAAGGGCAGTACAAATAATTTCTGGGGAAATTTGCTTATAGCATTATGAACAAGATATAAAATGCTTAGGAAACCAACTCTTCTGTGGTTAAGGAACTGGAGCAGCAACTGGAAGATGGCTTTGTCCTTTTTTCTGCTTCCCTTTATGTCCCTTTCAAAATAGGGTTGCCGTATGCTAACCAAATTACTCTCAGAAAATCAGTTCAGCTCAATTCTGAAGGGTTCAAATTTGTGAGAATATAAGCTTTTGCTCTAACCTTTGTTTTAAATTCATGTTTCTAGCTATTACAATTCTATGTTGTAGCGTTCCCCTTTATCATGTCAATGGTTCATGTTTGTTATATTGTTTATGCATATTCATGTTGCTGAGAGGCGGAGCCGAGAGGGATGGGATAAGAGGCGGAGCCTGAGAGAGAGTCAGTCAGAGAGAGTGGAGAAGGAGATAGAGTGTGGAGTTGGGGGAAATATGAAAGGTGATTAGAGTTAGGAGTGTATTATCAAATAGAAAATTGTTGTTAATAATAAATTTACCTAAAGAAGATATTCATGAATCACTATCAATTTCTGTAATCAATAAACAAAAGTCATATTTAAAAGACTTTGAAGTGTGGGCCTGAATCTTCATGTTAATGAAGTAATGGTAATTTAGTGATCACCTGGTGGCAGCAGTGTAAAAGAGGGGATTGTTTGCCTTCGTGTCCTCTGAGTCTTGATGGTCAAGCAAGGGGCACGTCAAATATACGGTACATATACAAAATACGTATATTTTGAAGACTGCACTGAGGGCTGAAAGACTTCACAGGATGTCTTCTGCCCTCGATAGGTCTTTACCCATTCCCAAAACTAACAGAATTATGCTGAATGAAACAAATGACACAGGTTTATCTAATTTATACATACAGGTTGCAGAATTCAACACTACTTCTTGCAGAATTGGAGTCAGCATACATTTCTAGAGGCCACTTAACAGAATCTATGGATATTTGTTGGGATTCAACTAAACACATAAAATTCAACTTTAATTTTATTTACTTGACACAGAATTAGTACCTTCGGATCTGATTTTAAAGTTATATTATTATTTGGTTAGAGCAGAAGGAACACAAAGAAACAGGACTCTGCTGAACTTCCCCATCATTCAAGGCCCAGGAAAAGCATGTCGTTTGTCCTTGAATGCCTACAATGTCTTTCCCATTACTGCTTTCTCACAATTACTGAAAGAAGTGTAGAAACATAAACCAAAGCTTTCAATGGGTAAAATGATTAGCAATTCCAAGGGCTACAACCTTTTTTGAAATGCTTACATACTATCAACCATCCCTGCTTACCAACTGTTTGGTCAATTTCCTCAAGCCATGACAAATTCCCTGAACAGAACTCTGGAGTTAGATAAACAACTCTATAGTGGCCCCTACAAAAAATGGGGAGAAAACAGTATTATCGCTTGCCAGAAGCAAGTTTAGAGACATACATTTCAAACTGCATTTTGGTGCTTAGTTCAGGGATGGGTGGGAATCTTCAAAAGTAATTCTGCTGCCCAATCCTCTGCATGTCTTCTCAAATATAAGCACTAGAGATGGGCAAGAACTGCCACTTTGGTGGTTCTGTGCCGGTTCAGTCAATGGCTGAACTGGTGTTCTGTGGTTCAGTGCCCTGCCTCCTTTGGCAGGCACCCACTCAGAAACAGTGCTCAGAGGAGGCAGGGCAGAGAAGCCAAGAGGCTATCTCTGACTGTGCGCCCTCCAGAAGTGGTGGGGTGGCTAAACTGCAGAACACTTATTGGGCCATCAGCAGAAATGGCATGAACCACTAAAGCGATTCTAGTAAACACCAATGAGTTCAGTAGGACTAACTTTCAGGGCAGCATGCACAGAGCTGTACCCTTAGCACCTACACAGAAAGAGGTGCTTTGACTGCTTAAAAAAAGAAAAAAAAAGACAGCTTACGCTTTGATTTCTGCTCTGAGATTTTTTGTCTGGGCTGATCCAAGCAGGCAAGCTTGAATTCCTGACATCCTGCAAAGAGCAAACATCACAAGAAAGATCAGATAAATTAAGACTAAAATACAGTGGTCCTTGAATAATACTCATGAAATTCACTGTAGAAAGAAATTCACTTCTTGTGTTTGGTGCACTTTAAATAAATACGAGCACATTTTCTCCTCATTACGGTTTTGCCCTTCCAAAGTTCAGGAGTGAAAGCACAAGGGAGCTGCACTTGCTCTTATCAGATTTTCAAGGTCACATCTGAAAGGCACTTGGGAAAAAGAGTGGGATGTAGGCAGACAAGTTCTAAACAGTAAAACCAGCCAGCACAACCCCACCACACAAATTCCTCCTTGAACATTACATTGAAAGCATGTTGCTTTGGAATATCCAGGGCCACTCCAAGAAAGATGGGAGATCCCTTCAAGGCATGCACCAAAACCCCCAGATCTTCAATTTATTTCTTCTGACCTCCTTCAAACCATCTCGGGAAGCATGAGGAGGCAGAGAAATTGCTTCACAACATGCTTTATATTGCTGGCAGGTTCACATAGTACAGTGAGATGGGCTTGGACAAGTCTGTACGTGCAACACTATACAAACAAGTAGTCATTCTTCATGTGTTCATTTGTTGAGCTCACTTCACTTTTTCCATGAGTTCCCTCTCCCTGCCCCCTTAGTTATTGTAACCTGCTTTGGGTACCCTATGGGGAGAAAGGTGGTATACGTTGGCAAGTAATCAAGCAAGTAAACAGTACCAGCATGCACATACACAAAATAGCTAAGTGTGTACAAACTTACGTTGCTTTTGGATCCAAGAACCATGTGGCAACTTAAAAACCAACAGATTTATTACGGCATATGTTTCCATGAACTAAATCACATTTTCCCAGAGGCATAAAAAGCATTACTTTCAGCTCACAGTAGGGTATTTGTATAGTCCCTTGTGCACAACTTATAGGGTGTAAGAGCATGAATTATATACAGGCAGAGGTGGGTTAAAGCAGACATAACTTTTGGTTACGGGTCTTCAAATGTCATGAAGACAAGGATCATCCACAACTTAACTAGTACAGTACTAACCTGCCTATGGGGCCGGAATATCACTAGTGGAAGTAGTAGAAATCTCAGGAACACCTAAGCACATACACTCTGGTGCTTTCTGTCTTCATGTGGCTAACTCGTTATATGGTTTTTATTACATTATTTTATTATAATTGTACATTTTAATTTGAACCACCCAGAGTAACATAACACTGCAGCACTAATGGGAGCAGTATATAAATTAAAGCAATAAATAAATAAATACTACTGATACTATGACTCCATCCTCCAACTGAGTTTGTGGTTAACAGGCCAGCCTCCTTCCCACTGGCCCAGAAGGCAACCCTCCGGCCTTGACGCGACACCCTTAAATCTCTTGTAAAGACCCTCCACCAGGGATGAGGGAATAACCCCCACCTAACCTTCTATGGACTGGGCCGAATACCATCAGCGCCTGCAGCAAAAAAGCTGTAGCAAAGCCATATAAATAATACGGCTGATGCCAATTTTGTTTTGAAGAATGCAGCCTGTATTCCATGTGACTAATATTAACGGTGATTAATAAAAACCCTTCCCAGCCCCATAAACAAGCAGCTAACAACTTCTGATAATATAAAGATTGTGACATGTAAGGAAGGTGGGTAGAGAACTCAGTCATTGAAGCCATACTTCAATATTCTTAATTTATGGTCAAGGAACAGACCAAAGGCAGTTTACCGCTCTGATGCACACTTGAAACCTACCATCCAGAGCGAGCTTCCTCAGTTCACAGCACAACGTGGGTGAACACCAAGAAGAAAGCATTCCTCTGCTCAGACCTGCCCCTGCAAACATGGCCTCTACTATAAGCGGAAACCAGTACATGTAGACAACTGAACTTACGTGCTTTGGAGAAAACAAAATATTGTGTATAACTTTTTCCTTCCCTATCTACGCATGTGCATAGAATCAACCTCTGCCCAATGAAAGGAACTGGGTATTTGTTCTCTATTGATACAGTTAATGTATCTTTAACAGCCAGCCACATGAGAACAACAATTCATGCATTTAACAGCATGGGTTCTAGTCCACAAAAGCTTATGCAACCTCATGTTTATGTTTCAAATGAAATATAGCTACACTTCTAGAATGTGTACCAATTTATCACTGAAGTATCCTTCTGGATTTTGCTTTTTCTTAATCAACCCAGCAGATATTATCATACCACTTGAAACCACTCTATTCTACTTCGTAGGAACAGTTTTCAATCATATTGTTTCCCCACATGCCTTTACAAAAAGAAAGCAAATCAGTACTTTGATAAAATGATCAAAGCAAGGAGTACAGTAAAATAATTTAAGCAGCCTCTCTCGACAAGTATTCATTCTCCATTCAAGTATAAGAAAAAATTGTTTTTATCCAGGAATAATGATCAGGGTCATCCAGTTACAAAGCTAACTTCCCCACCCACTCACCCCAAGCTGTTAGTTAAAATCATGAATCTTGCAAGCAGGAACATCAATACACTTATTTTCATGTTTCTGTTTGAAGAGCTTTTTGTGAAGTTTTCTTATCCTGAGATGGAACTGGACTGGCTATTCTGCAGGCTACAGTTAAGGATATGGATGCAACTTTATCCTTAAAGAGTCAGAGCCAGAAAAGATTGGAAAAAAACTTTTTAGAAAGATGCATTCCACATTTGCACAGCTATACTTACTCAAGTTGTAGTACTTGGTCTTCCATCAGAGAAATAAGTGGAGAAATTACTATTCCAGTACCTCCAGTGTACACAGGTGGAAACTGAAAGCACAAACTTTTCCCATATCCTTTAAGAAAGCAGAGGAACATGATATGTAGAACAACTTCTCCAAAGTTTGCTATCAGATTTTATAGTGATATGTGAAGCATATGCATAGTGACATATTAAAACCATTAATAATGAGGCATGTATGTACAAAGAACCTCCAAATTCCTGGGCAAATGCCAAACAGAGCACATTGCTGTCATGTTTCAATTTCAGATTTTGGAAAATTGGTCACTGATTCAATAAACATACTGTTAAAACAAGACATAATTAGAGCAGCATAAATTCCCTCCCAGAATGCAACCATGTATACAACAAAGAACTAAAATATTACTTGCCAAAGTGAGTGCATATACGTGTGTCTGTCTGTTTTGGAAAACAATTTCTTATGTGTTGAAGCAAAAGTAAATGGGTAGAACCCACAAGAGGTAACAGGGAGCATAAGGATAACTGTGTGAGTTTCAATGTATTTGTGAAGGCTTTCACGGCCAGAATCTAATGGTTGTTGTGGGTTTTTCGGGGTCTTTGGCCGTGTTCTGAAAGTTGTTCTTCCAAACGTTTCGCCAGTCTCTGTGGCCGGCATCTTCAGAGGACAGCCTTCAGAACACAGCCAAAGACCCCGAAAAACCCACAAAAACCATTGTGTGAGTTTCCCTTCCCATGGGCTGTCGTTCACACAACGACAGATGCAAACAGGACATGTGACTGGTTGTGCGATTAATGATATGAAGGGCAGTCCAACAGATTCGGCTTGGGATTCATCCAGCGCTGCCTTTTGCATGATGTATTCTGCACATAAGTTAAATAAGCTGGGAGACAATATACCTTGTCGTAGTCCTTTCCCAGTTTTGAACCAATCAGTTGTTCCATATCCAGTTCTAACTGTTGCTTCCTGTCCCACATATAGGTTTCTCAGGAGATAAATAAGGTGGTCAGGCACTCCCATTTCTTTAAGGACTATGCCGTGCAGGGACACCCAAGATGGACAGAACATAGTGGAGAGTTTCGACTAAACGCAATCCACTTGGAGTAGGAATTTGTAAGCCACTCCAGATCTTTGCCAAGAATACCCCATGAACAGAAACAAAAGGCTAAAAGATATGATGCTGGAAGATGAGCCCCGTAGGTCGGAAGCCATCCAACATGTTACTGAGGAAGAGTGGAAGACAAGTACAAGTAGCTCCAGAGCTAATGAAGTGGTTGGGCCAAAGGCGAAAGGATGCTCAGCTGTGGACGAGCCTGGAAGTGAAAGGAAAGTCCGATGCTGCAAAGAAAAATACTACATAGGAACCTGGAATATAAGATCTATGAACCTTGGGAAGCTGGATGTGGTCAAACAGGAGATGGCAAAAATAAACATTGACATCCTGGGCATCAGTGAACTAAAATGGACAGGAATGGGTGAATTCAATTCAGATGATTATCATATCTACTATTGTGGATAAGAAGTCTGTAGAACGAATGGGGTAGCCCTCATTTCACCCTCATTACGAGATTCTTTAATTCCTCCTCACTTTCTGCCATCAGAATGGTATCTGCATATCAGAGGTTGTTGATATATCTTCTGGCAATCTTAATTCCAGTTTGGGATTCTTCCAGTCCGGCCTTTCGCATGATTAAATAAGCCGGGGGACAATATACAGCCTTGTCATACTCCTTGCCCAATTTTGAACCAATCAGTTGTTCCATATCCAGTTCTAACTGTTGCTTCCTGTCCCACATATAGGTTTCTCAGGAGATAAATAAGGTGGTCAGGCACTTCCATTTCTTTAAGGACTTGACATAGTTTGTTGTGGTCCACACAGTCAAAGGCTTTTGCATAGTCAATGAAGCAGAAGTAGATGTTTTTCTGGAACTCTCTGGCTTTCTCCATAATCCAGTGCATGTTAACAATTTGGTCTCTAGTTCCTCTGCCCCTTCGAAATCTAACTTGTACTTCTGGGAGTTCTTGGTCCACATATTGCTGAATCCTACCTTGTAGGATTTTGAGCATAATCTTGCTAGCCTGTGAAATGAGTGCAATTGTTGGAGCATTCTTTGGCACTGCCCTTCTTAGGGATTGGGATGTAGACTGATCTTTTCTAGTCCTCTGGCTGCTGCTGAGTTTTCCAAACTTGCTGGCATATTGAATGTAGCACCTTAACAGCGTCATCTTTTAAGATTTTAAATAGTTCAACTGGAATGCCATCACCTCCACTGGCCTTG